ATCTGTAAGTAAGGCAGTACTCGAGTTGAAAGGGGATGGCATCTCCCTTCTTAAATAGATTAGAAAAATCATCCTCCTTCTTAAGTGACCATCCCCTGTGACATTTTATCACTGAATGTCTAACATTTTTACTATATATTAACAGTAATGGCAATAATATTGCCCTTTTAACGTTTGGTGGACTGTGCAGTTATGAGTAGCCTGAGTAAAATAAATAAACTCAAAGAAGTGTCCTACCATGACTATGAAGCTGATCCCAGTGGGAATGGAGCCCCTAACTCTGTAGGGGTAGCGATAGCAATGCTAACTCTGTAGGGGCAGTGATTGCCATGCTAGCTAGAGATAGCAATGCTAACTCTGTAGGGATAGTGATAGCCATGCTAACTCTGTAGGGGTAGCGATAGCCATGCTAGCTATGTAGGGGCAGTGATAGCCATGCTAACTCTGTAGGGGTAGCGATAGCCATGCTAACTCTGTAGGGGTAGCGATAGCCATGCTAACTCTGTAGGGGCAGCGATAGCCATGCTAAGTATGTAGGGGTAGCGATAGCCATGCTAACTATGTAGGGGCAGCGATAGTCATGCTAACTATGTAGGGGCAGCGATAGCCATGCTAACTGTAGGGGCAGCGATTGCCATGCTAACTATGTAGGGGCAGCGATAGCCATGCTAACTGTAGGGGCAGCGATTGCCATGCTAACTATGTAAAGGCAGAGATAGCAATGCTAACTATGTAGGGACAGTGATAGCCATGCTATCTATGTAAAGGCAGAGATAGCAATGCTAACTATGTAGGGGCAGTGATAGCCATGCTAACTCTGTAGGGGCAGCGATTGCCATGCTAACTATGTAGGGGCAGTGATAGCCATGCTAACTATGTAGGGGCAGCGATAGCCATGCTAACTATGTAGGGGCAGCGATAGCCATGCTAACTATGTAGGGGCAGCGATAGCCATGCTAACTATGAAGGGGCAGCGATAGCCATGCTAACTATGTAGGGGCAGCGATAGCCATGCTAACTATGTAGGGGCAGCGATAGCCATGCTACCTATGTAGGGGCAGCGATAGCCATGCTAACTATGTAGGGGCAGCAATAGCCATGCTAACTATGAAGAGGCAGCGATAGCCATGCTAACTATGAAGGGGCAGCGATAGCCATGCTAACTATGTAGAGGCAGCGATAGCCATGGTAACTATGAAGGGGCAGCGATAGCCATGCTAACTCTGTAGGGGCAGCGATTGCCATGCTGACTATGAAGGGGCAGAGATAGCAATGCTAACTATGTAGGGACAGTGATAGCTATGCTAACTATGTAGGGGGAGTGATAGCCATGCTAACTCTGTAGAGACAGCGAAGAAAGGCCTCAGAAGAGGCAAATATATGCCAGAATGCTTTGCATGGAGAGCTCTCCTCGGAAAACATCATGGGATTTGCTGTCACAGCGGCCCGTTGTCGCCATTGGCTGTCGCTACCTGACAGCGGCAACTAATAACAAAGATGGCGCAGGCACCGCACGGTGGAGGAGGAGTTATGTGACCAATGGTGCAAAAAGCAGTGATCTGTCTGAATGGTCAGCTAACTGAGTTCACTATAAGGTCCCCGCTTTATATAGTGATGGAGGGATTTAGGGCGGACGGTCGGACACAGTAAGCTTTTTTTTGTTTTGAGTTTTTTCGACAGTAGGCTGACAGAAAAGAGGACCACAGGTCGGAATCGAACTTGGGTCGGCCTCATCAAGGACTAAGGCCTCCATACATGGGCTGTGTGCGCTAACCACTGCGCCACCTGCAAGACCTCCAGACAGTAAGCCTAGATGACCTATGAGAACAGCAACTTTTAAACAGATCATGCACAAGGAGAAATGGGTTTGTGCAACCGTTTAACAGGCGTTCCGTTTTGGGAGCGGGTACAGGGTTGTGCATGTGCATTTTTTTTTTTAAGTGAAGAGGGTGGGTCTTTTAAAACATTTGCGAAAATCCTCCACAATACCTTTAATGTTTTCCTTTATTCTGCTTTTTCTGTAAAAACCCTGGTTCCATAAATTCAACAAGCTGTCCTGAAGCAGCGGAGTCAAACCATGGCTCTCCCATCACAGTGCTCCACGTTTGATCTGAAATACCTGCAAAGTTTCACACCAGGCGCAACGTCCATCACAGTTTCCACAATGTTCCACGTTGTCTTGTCCACCAGGATTAGGCCTTCCCATAGTGAAAATGTTTTTACTAAGTCTTTTTGATTACAGCTCTTCTGGACTTGAACCTTCTTCAAAACCTCTCAATGTTGAACCATGAACTCTGATCTGGACTGGAAATGTGGGATCTGCTGAGCTGGAGATGTTCTGGCTCTTCTGGGACCTCCTGGATCTTTTGATCTAAACAATGGACACATTTTCTCCTTAAGTTTATCTCCAAAGTTTATTGCCATCACAGATCTGTACTCTGAGATCCTTTGAGGCCTTTAAACTTCCTGGATGTCAGTGAATCTGTTCCTGTTTGCTCTAAATCTCTTTAGATAGCCACAGGATCTGTTGTGGTTTTAGAACTTTGACCCTACTTCGTGTTGTCAGACAGGTCCTTGTTTCCAGAGGTGTGGCAGTAGTCGGGACTCGTTGTGGTGGATTGAATCAAATTAAAAACCGTTCGGCTGTCCCCTCCTGAAGTGGTAGCTCACCCATCCAGATGGTTAACTTTTGACATGTTATTCCGCTGGATATATCTCCAAAGAGAAAAGAATTGTTTCCTGTTAGGAACACAAACCTATGCTGGAACCATGTCTGCTCCAGGATCCTGGTATTTTCTGAGGTTTCCAGACACTCCTGAGGATCCATGTTTCTGAGGTTGCTGACGTCTCCCCATTAGGCATTCTGTTAACCCTCCTGGTTTAATTAATGGTCAGGGCAGATTTAGGAAATTTGGGGCCCAGGCTCACTTAGCTGATTGCTCCTTCCTGTGTTTCCAAAAAGGTAAAAGTAAATAACCCAGTCCTTCTTTTCACTTTAGACAAGCCATGATCTGCTTCTCTGTTCTCCATTTTTCATTTGGATGAAATAATAGCTGCATGAATTATGACAGCAGACAAGATAGAGGAGAGCAGGAGGCGGGGTTACCAATCTACTCGCTCTGGAGAGCAGAGTTCGCTGCTTTTAGATGTGGCGCCAAAGTCTCCAGCAGCAGAAAAAAGTTGTTGATTTTCAGCTAGGCGATTTTTCAAAATCAAAGCGCTAGGGGGGTCTGAAAAGTCGCTAAATAAAGTTGGCAACACTGCTCTTTGCATCGTTTGTTTTCAAATGGTTTAATGCTGTCTGTTTGGACCTTTCAGAACATGTGAAGCAAATGGACTGAAGTAACGAAGTACAAATACTTCGTTACTGTACTCAAGTAGATTTTTCTGATATTTTTACTTTACTTTACTACTTATTTTTATGCCGACTTTTTACTTCTACTCCGTACATTTTTACACAAATATCTGTACTTTCTACTCCTTACATTTTAAAAAATTGTCTCGTTACTTTAGTTTTGAATCAATGGATTTCAATGGAGTTACCGTTATAATTTTTCACGTCATCAATACCAAATTCAATCTAATTGGATGGGAATCTACGTTGCATTTGACGCACCACTTCAAGATGAATCAACAGATTCGGCGGTATTTATTCGCGGCAAATCATTGCGCTTGGTGGCGGTGGCGTTAGCATAGTAGTATGGATGACGAGATGATTGAAAATGAACACAACGGAGATCTAGTCCTATTGGCAGACATCCATTTAAAATGTAGGCAACGGCATGAAAAAAGTGGTTTCTACTTTTATTTTTATACTTTAAGTAAATTTACAAGCCTGTACTTTGTTACTTTTACTTGAGTAAAGAAGTTTAATCAGTACTTCCACTTTTACCAGAGTATTTTTTAACACAAGAATCTGTACTTTTACTCAAGTACGGAAAGTGAGTACTTTTGCCATCTCTGATTCTGATGGCATTTTAGCCAAAGTAGTTTTATCAAAAACATAATTAATTTATTCAGCTTGGGAACCATTTCTAAACTTAGTGGAGAAATCAATTGCTCAATTAGTAACTTGATGAAATACATTAAGCTTTGGCCTTAAACCCCACCTCTCTTTATCTCTCTTATACTGATCTCCTGAATGGACGAGGCGGGACTACAAGGGGTGGGTCATGATAATTACAGTACTTATTCCAGAGTTTGTATTGCACATTTGGATACTAAAACAATAAAATAAACCTTGTTTAAAAAATAAAAAAGCATAATTAATGAGCACAAATAAGGTATAGTTGTATTAACCATACATGTAAACAGATTTATGGGGCCTACAGGAACTAGCCAACTGCCTAGTTTTTTGTTTGTTTGTTTTAACCCAAATAAAAAACAGGGATTTGTTTTCAAAGGTTGAAGAACTTGTGTTCTGTCTGCTTTTGATATTTCTGTGTAGAAGGCTAGCAATGATAAAACTTTGCGTGAGCTGCTCCTTGCAGACGTCTCCTGCTGCACACTGGTGGTTTTGACCTTTAGAAGAGGATAAAATGATGAATAAATGTTTCGTTTAAATCAATAAACACCACTGGTACTGGTGCAGTTGGCATATTTCTCATAATTGTGGCTTTTTTATTTGAAATAAAAAAAATAGAACCTACTGTTCATGCTTGTGTTGATGTTTTGCTTGAATGCTGTGGCGACATGACATCCTCCCCACCCCTACGGTGGAATACTGATGATGGTTAGTGATAACAGAAATCTCAGACAACACTGTTATCAATAACACTTTATTTCCCACCAGTCCCCCCCCCCCAGATCTGAGGTTAAAGGTTAAAAACAAGCAGCCAGCAAAGGGGGCAGTCTTCCATCCAGCAGTGGGTTCAGTTCAGCAGACACTGAGGCATCAGGCTGTACTTTAAAAACTCATCAGGGCGGAGCTGTGACCCTTCAGGCTCTCCAGCACATTTTTTAATAACCTGCTAATTTGACCCAAACTAAAGAAACTCTTTCAGATTTTTCCACCGTGATCCTTGCACCAGTTTTTATTTTCCAGTGTTTACGGCCACCGTCAGACTTCCTGTTAACCCAGGGTGTTTAGTGTTGCCATAACAACAGATTTAGAGATAACACATAAAAAAAAACTGTTCATAATGAAAAACCCTCCTCATCCTCATCTGGATCACTGCTGCTTCGTGGTCAGTCCCTGCAGTGGGAGGTAAGGCAGACCCTGAGCCGGACCTCCTGCTCACATCCTGCCGTATCGCCGCTTATCTAAGAACAGGAAAGCATTCCTGAACAGAATGCTCTCAACTTTACTGCCTTTCAAAATAAAAGCGTGTCTCATAAAGAGGCATTCCACCATTTGAAATCATGTTAAATATTCATAAAACAAGGAGCCAAACCAGGCTTAGTGTAAAAAAATAAATAAAGGTTTACACTAAATATTCTGTTTCACATGTTGGAGCTTCATAGACCACTTCTCTGGATTTTCTGTTCAGTTTGCAGCCGCTGCTTCAGTTTCAGTGCAGTCATCAGAGAGGGTGCCCTGGGACATTTTAAACCATCTTTAACTAAAAAATATTAGTGATAAGCACAGCTAGTATCATCATCAACAACATGTTCTAGAACATTAGGATCTATACCCTAACTCTCCGTAAATTCAAGCATGTTCCACAACAGACTGGAGCTTCTTAGCTCTGCTGCAGCCGATGGAGACAGACAGACATCCTTTAAAAAGCTTGGTCCAGCTCTGAGCTTCCACCCAGTTAGAGGCTGAAACAGTTCCTTCCCAGTCTCCATCCCTAAGTGGCAGAGTTATTCTAAGCATCACCAAAGAGTGTTTAGTGTGGTCTTTAACTGGCCGACGCCCAGTGAGGGCGTGAAAAGGGTGAATAGCAGCTCCCAGAGTCAGAAATGTTCTCCTATAGTTTTTCTCTATTTTGATATCTGACTAATTAATAAGAAGCTAAACAGGAAGATATTTAGATTCCCATTCCTGTTGAAACCATAAAATGTTTCATTCCTGAACAGAAAACCTCTCCTCCACCGTCATCAACAGTGTGAACCTCAGATTGCAGGAGGAGCCAGTCCCTTCATCCCCAGGCTGGTCTGTTGCCACTCGGGTCACAGCGAGCAGCCAATCAGATGAGAGGAGCTGCTATCAGACGTTAATTACAGCATCATCCTCTTCATCCCGCAGTTCACCCAGTACTCTGTTTCCTAAGGCCCCTCTTCCTCCTGTTGATCTCATCTCATCCCCTTCTTCTGCGAAGGCCCCACAGGGGCCAACAATGTACCTGTAGTCCCCTCCGATGGCCATTGCAGCCTCTGAGGCCACCATTAGCCAGTCTTCCTCATCCTCAGCCCCCCGCTGCCAGGGAACGCCCCAGCTGGAGGCCTCTGCTGTAGCCTCGGGTCCCAGGATCCGGGGCCCAACAGCTCCTTCTCTGTCCATCTTCCTGTTGTCCTCTTCTAGGTTGACGTAAAGTAAAGGCTCCTTCAGAGGAGTGGTGGGGGTCAGGGTGAGGTGCAGCGCCTCAAGTTGAGTCACCAGCTGCTGGAAACTGGGACGGCATTTAGGGACCGGGCTCCAGCATCTGTGCATGATCTCGTAGCTGTTAGGCAGAAGAAAAGAGTTTCAGGTCACAGCATCACAACATCTTATTCTACAGTAATTAGAAAGTTCCTCATAAATATGAAAACTAACAGAAATGTAAAACATCATAATAAAAAAACTTCCCAGAAGAACTGGAGATGAAGTTTATCTTCCTGATGTCCGCCAGTCCTTTTCTGATTTAGTTTAGCCCTTTCTGACGTTCAGAGGTGAAAGCGGCATCGGATGAAGTTTGCCCTGCAACCGGAGGGTTGTCGGTTCAAGCCCCGGCTCCGCTGTTCAATGTCGTTTTGTCCTAAGGTAATGTACGCCCAGTGTACGACAGCCTCTCATCTCTTAGTGAGCCCCAGGGCAGCTGTGGCTACAATGTAGCTCACCACCATCAGTGTGTGGGTGAATGTAGTGTAAAGTGCTTTGCTCAAGTCCTCTGACTTGAAAAAGCACTATATATGTATAGGCCATTAACCATTTTCTGACGTCGTCTAATTATTCCTATTGTTGTCCAACCCTTTTCTGACATCCTCCAACTCTTTCTGACATGTAATGTGAAATGTGAGGGTAGTGGCTGTATTATGCTGTGGAGATTTATATGCTGAAGAACAGGGACCTGCTCAGAAATATGGGGGGATGAATTAAACTAGAAATGGAGTAAACCTGGAAGCAGATCTGTCAGATGCCTCAAATATCTGAAGTCAGAAGAGCGACCCAAAGCAAAAACAGAACCGCCTAGCCCAAAGCCTTGACCAGTGCCTCTCATGTTACGTTCAGACCACACATGACAGAAGCAGCAAAAAAAGCTTCTGCTGCTTCATTTTTAATGCTTGTACAGGTGCTGGTCATAAAATTAGAATATCATGAAAAAGTAGATTGATTTCAGTAATTCCATTTAAAAAGTGAAACTTGTATATTATATTCATACATTACATACAAACTCATATATTTCAGATGTTTATTTTGTTTAATTTTGATGATTACAAATGACAACAAATGAAAATCTCAAATTCATCATATCAGAAAATTAGAATATTGTGAAAAGGTTCAAAATTGATGGCCCCTGGTGCCACACTCTAATCAGCTAATTAACTCAAACCACCTGCAAAAGCCTTTAAATGGTCTTTCAGTCTAGTTCTATAGGCTACACAATCATGGGGAAGACTGCTGACTTGACAGTTGTCCAAAAGACGACCATCGACACCTTGCACAAGGAGGGCAAGACACAAAAGGTCATCGCTAAAGAGGCTGGCTGTTCACAGAGCTCAGTGTCCAAGCACATTAATAGAGAGGCGAAGGGAAGGAAAAGATGTGGTCGAAAAAAGTGTACAAGCAAGAGAGATAACCGCACCCTGGAGAGGATTGTGAAACAAAACCCCTTCAAAAATGTGGGGGAGATTCACAAAGAGTGGACTGCAGCTGGAGTGAGTGCTTCAAGAACCACCACACACAGACGTATGAAAGACATGGGTTTCTGCTGTCGCATTCCTTGTGTCAAGCCACTCTTGAACCACAGACAGCGTCAGAAGCGTCTTGCCTGGGCTAAAGAGAAACAGGACTGGACTGCTGGTGAGTGGTCCAAAGTCATGTTCTCTGATGAAAGTAAATTTTGCATTTCCTTTGGAAATCAAGGTCCCAGAGTCTGGAGGAAAAGAAGAGAGGCACTTCATCCACGTTGCTTGAAGTCCAGTGTAAAGTTTCCACAGTCAGTGATGGTTTGGGGTGCCATGTCATCTGCTGGTGTTGGTCCATTGTGTTTTCTGAGGTCCAGGGTCAACGCAGCCACATACCAGGAAGTTTTAGAGCACTTCATGCTTCCTGCAGCTGACCAACTTTTTGGAGATGCAGATTTCATTTTCCAACAGGACTTGGCACCTGCACACAGTGCCAAAGCTACCAGTACCTGGTTGAAGGACCATGGTATCCCTGTTCTTAATTGGCCAGCAAACTCTCCTGACCTTAACCCCATAGAAAATCTATGGGGTATTGTGAAGAAGAAGATGCAATACACCAGACCCAACAATTCAGAAGAGCTAAAAGCCACTATTAGAGCAACCTGGGCTATCATAACACCTGAGCAGTGCCACAGACTGATCGACTCCATGCCACGCCGCATTGCTGCAGTAATACAGGCCAAAGGAGGCCCAACTAAATACTGAGTGCTGTACATGCTCATACTTTTCATGTTCATACTTTTCAGTTGGCCAACATTTCTATAAATCCTTTGTTTTTATTGGTCTTCAGTAATATTCTAATTTTCTGATATGATGAATTTGAGATTTTCATTTGTTGTCATTTGTAATCATCAAAATTAAACAAAATAAACATCTGAAATATATGAGTTTGTATGTAATGTATGAATATAATATACAAGTTTCACTTTTTAAATGGAATTACTGAAATCAATCTACTTTTTCATGATATTCTAATTTTATGACCAGCACCTGTACACATTATGGTCTGACGCGTCCAGTAAAGTGTGTCTAGATGCTTCTGCTGCTCCTGTGTTCAATGCCAGAGAGCACTTTTGTTATATTTACTGTGATCAGTGGGTAAAAAGTAGCTTGAATCTATTTTGAAGTGAGAAAGTCCTCCTAAAAAAACATGGTCTGTGCAGTCAGTTCATCCAGATTACCATCCTGCCTTCAAAGATTATTTCTCTGTGGGAGCCGCTCAGACCCCCACATAGCGGCTGTCACTGGGAATCCCCAGCAGCAGCTGCCTCAGACCTGCTCGCCTCTTGGGGGTTTTCCCCTACTGTTGGTGGCGGCTGGAAGTAGATGTTAGCGTTTTTCAGGTATGTGCTACAAACTGCAGGCAGCAGGATAATAAAAGCAAACATATTTTGCCGGCAAGTTTCTACATTTTAAGTTAATTTAGGCGTTAATAAACTGTTTAAGAGGAGTGATCATAGCGCTCTGCATCAGCAGTGCTGTGTCTGACTCCCTGCCAGCTCCCAGATCAGCTTCTCTCATTGGTTGATGTGGCGCGTCCAGCTGCTAAAGTTCAATGTTTCCAACTCCAGCATCAGCTGCTCTAGATGCTGTTGGACCTTTTGCTGCGCCTTAATGCTCATCAACCATTGCTTTGCATGTAACTCTGCTGCTTCTCTTTCACGGGCGGCCTGAATGTAGCATTACCCATCTCCACAGCAGAAGCCTCTGACATTTAATTGGATCTGAAATCGAATTGACTGTAGTAGGATTGAGTCCCGGACCTGCTGACCTTTACTGAACGTCTCTCCTCTCTCTTGTAACCCACTTTCCTGTCTGCATACTTTGAAAAATAACAAAATATAGGCCACTAGACCTAAAAAGGAATCTTAAAAAACTAAATAAATGCAAAATGAATCCAGGTATACACCTTTGGGTGATTTAATACTGACCAGTGGCTGACATTTTCAGAACAAATGATCACATACATCATGTGACATACCCACTGAAACGGTAAAGTAAATTGCTTACCAAAGAACACGACTCCCCCGCTCCCCTCTCATCCGGAGTGCAGGTGAACACCACACAGACACACACCATTATGGCTCCTACACAGAACTACACCCAACTGGGAACCAGTCTCTAGTTGGTGGGACATATCCACACTTTTAACTGAATGCAGTGAGTGGACCCAGCCAGGCTGAGTATAAAGGAATACCCCTGTCCTTCCAGTTCAGTTTATCCCCACATCAAATCCTCTGAAGTTTGTGGTAAAACATGACAAGGTGCAAAATAAATTCAAGGTGTTTAAAAAACTTTAGCAAAGCAGTGTAGTTTCTATTCTCCCATAGACTCACATGTCCTCTCTGCAGTCTGCAGGTTTCTTCAGGCGCTCTCCTTTGATCAGGAACTCGTAGATCTCTGAGTTTTCCACCCCAGGATACGGCGTCTGACCTCTGGTCATGATCTCCCACATTGTTACACCAAATGCCCACTGAAACAAATCAAATCCCATCCATTCAGACACAGTACAGCTTATTGTTGCATTTGACCAATTAGTAGAGCCCTTGAATTATATATTACCTACTGTAAATTAAGTTAGGAAAAAAAAAAAGTTAATTTAAGAAAAAAGGTTTTGCTTCCTTTTCTGGTGTAGTGGGGGTTACCTTCAACTGGATGAAGGCACGGGACTCTGGCTGGATAACTCAATCCCAGATGACTGATTGATAGATTGGGTTGTACCATCTGGAGTCCTAACTTTAATATTCTACATAATCTCTCTTTTGCGACTTGCTAATTTTGTTTAATTATTAGTGATTTAAGTTTTATCCTTAAGCTAACTGTTTAGTTTTGTTAAGTCTGTGTAGATGTTCTCCTTCCCTCTTCCTTAATGTGTCTCATCAGTCAGTATTTACACCCAAAAATGTTGACTTAGAAATAAGTCAACATTTCTTAAATTAAATGTATTTACTCTAATTTTAACACAATAATAAGATGATTTGCAAATGAAATGAGTTTTTACTCTTAAAGTAAGTAAATGTAAATTGTCTTTAAACCTGTCTACTAAAGGACAACAAGAAATGTTGACTCATATTTAGATTGTTTTTTGCGGGGCACAATGATCTTCCTTGTCTGAACATAGATAGACCATGGAGCCAGGAAACATAAACTAGAAATCCAATCAGCAAAGGAAATCAGTGCTGGAGAAGAGGAAATGGAGGCTGGAACTTCTACAATGGCAGAAGACACTGAGGGCGAAGATATCGTTGAACCAACGGTGAGGGACCTGACTGGGACCTTGCATGCATTCAGGGGCCAGCAGGAGGCAGGGGAGGTCAAGTTAAACCAAGGAAGACAGGAGAAATTCTTTGAACCATATGACATCCTTTTCAGTGTCAGTGTAGCGACTATCTACCACAATTTAATGGCTTCTGGCCGTTCCCACTGAAGTCAGTTTATAAATGAACAAATAATCTCAGTGGCGGGCTTTTACAACAAGTGAGATGGACAGGTGATCATGGAGAGTGTGGGTATGACAGAACTTAACCAGTGGAGGACGTTGTCACGATTTGGTTTTTAGGTTTTTGTTAGGACCCAAAAGCAGAAGCTGGGAGGCAGGGGTGAGATCTTGGAAGGTTTAATGAAAAATCAGGCAGCAAAAACAGGAATCCAAAAATCCAACTTAAAAATGTAAATCAAAACAGAAATTAAAAAAAACAACAACATAAGAATTGAACACTAACCAGGACCATGGAAACATCAGGGGAAAAAGTCATGAGGAGCCAGGGTAGAATGAAATAAGACGAGGAACCAGCAAAGACGGATTGCAGAGGTAGTGTATTTATGGCTGACTGAACAAAGGTAGGACTAATGAGCTGATAGGGAGCAGGTGTGACTAGAGCTGATGAGGAAGCCAAGGGAAAAGAACGAAAGTTACGACTGTAACTACGGTTCTATGAATCCCGGATGACCGCCAGAGGCGGTGCTTAAAGCACGAATGATCACTCTTGCGCATGCACAGGTCGAGAATCTTATACCAACATAGTCACGTGTGACCCCCGGTGACACCGGTGTGCCTATATAGTCACGTGACAGCGACAGCTCAGTCCCTTAATCTTCTCGCGAACACACAATGATTCCGAGGGACCGAGCGCTCTGGCGGTCATCCGGGATTCATAGAACCGTAGTTACAGTCGTAACTTTCGTTCTATTTCATCCCTACTGACCGCCAGAGGCGGTGCTTAAAGCACGGATGACGATTACCAACAGAGTCCTGAGGAATCACACACAGAAACAACAACCCAAACATGCCCACCTCACTGGGTAGATGGCGTGCGCTGGGACAGGATCCCCTGCATTGGGTGAGGGGTGGCCAAGTTGACCCTGTAAAACCTAGCAAAGGTATTCGGGGATGACCAAGAGGCTGCTGAGCAAATAGCCTCCAGAGTGAGACCAGTCATAGCGGCCCATGACACACTGACACCCCTGGTGGAATGGCACCGTACACCAGCGGGGGGTTGGAGGCCCCGCTGAATGTACGCCTGTTCCACTACATCCACAATCCAACGCGCAAGGCGCTGTTTAGAAAGGGCCTGCCCCTTGCGGGGCCCCGCGTAGCAGACAAACAGATTATCTGCCTGACGGAGAGAAGCTGTGAGACTGACATATGTCTTCAGTGCCCGAACAGGGCAGAGAAGCTCATCAGGCCCATCTGTATCAAGGCGAGCAAGCTGGAGGGGCACAGTGTGGCTCGCGGGTGAAGCCACTTTAGGAAGAAACGCCGCATTAGGCCAAAGAGTAACACCTGAACCAGCCGGGTTCCAACGGCAGCAGGACTCGTGAACAGACAGTGCCTGTAGTTCACTCACCCGTTTCGCCGAGGCCATGGCGAGGAGAAAAGCTGTCTTCTTCGACACACACTCAAGGCTTGCCCCCGCCAATGGTTCATAGGGAGGAGAGCGCAGGGCAGCGAGGACAATAGAAAGGTCCCACACCGGCACAACAGGGCGTGTGGGAGGGTGCAAACGCCGGGCACCCCTCAAAAACAAGGAAACGTCCTTGTTACGACCCACCGTCTCCCCACTCACCACCGAATGCCAGCAAGAGATGGCAGCCACATAGACCTTTAGAGTGGATGGAGAGCGACCTTGAGAAAGCAGTGCTTGAAGGAAGGCTAAAATAACAGAAACAGGACAGTGTACAGGGTCCTCATTTCTTTCCTGACACCAGCGGCTAAAAGCCTTCCACTTATGGGCGTACACCAGACGCGTGGAAGGGGCCCTGGCATTAGTCATCGTGTGTCCGATGTCCCCGCCATACTCCGAGAAGGAAACGCCGGGCCCTGTAGTGGCCAGACCCAGAGTCGGAGGCGACTGGGATTGGGATGCAGGATCCGACCGTCCAGCTGTGACAGCAGGTCCTTCCTGCAGGGAAGAGGCATCGGAGAGCTGCAACAGAGCCTGTGCAGCATCGGAAACCAAGTCCTCCCTGGCCACCGGGGGGCCACCAGAAGGAGCTGATGTCCCTCCTGAAGGACCCTCAGGAGTGTTGGGCCTATCAGGGGAAGTGGCGGGAAGGCGTAGAGGAGTGCCTTCGGCCAGTCGTGCGACAGCGCGTCCTGACCTAGGGGACTGGCACTGTCCGACAGGGAGAACCACAGCGGGCAATGTGTCGTCTCTCGGGAAGCAAACAAATCTACGGCTGCTCTCCCGAACCTCTCCCAAATAGTTTCCACTACATCCGGGTGGAGCCTCCACTCCCCCGGCGGTGGACGCCCCCGGGATAGGATGTCGGCAGGAACATTCTGCACCCCCGGGATGTGGGTCGCCCTCAGGCTGGCAAAAAGAGGGGCTGCCCAGGTCAGAAGCTCCCGGGTCAGCCTCAGTAGCATCAAAGACCGTGTTCCCCCTTGATGGTTGATGTGAAAAACAACCGACGTGTTGTCCGACCGCACCAGGACATGCCTTCCCCGCAGGACCGGGAGGAAGTGCCGCAGCGCACGGTGCACAGCCTCCAACTCCAGAGCGTTGATGTGGTGCCGCCTCTCTCGTGGAGACCATGTCCCCCGAGCGATCTGTCGCTGCCACAAGGCCCCCCATCCTGTGGTGGACGCGTCGGTAGAGACAACTTCCCAACGGGATGGCAGCAAACCCAGCGGAACTCCCTTTATCATGAATTCTGCCTCTCGCCACTGAGCCAGTGATACGAGGCATTGAGGGGACACCTGCAATTTCCTGTGACGGTGTGACGCACGAGAAGGATCCAGCCTCAGGCTGTTGAGCCACATCTGCAGTGGTCGCAAAGACAGTAGCCCTAGGGGCACTACAGTAGCGGCAGCTGTCAGCTTCCCCAGCAGACGGAGATAGAGAACAAAGGGGGCCGCCCGACCGGGAAGAAAGGCAGGCAGCATCTGCAGAATGCTCTCGACACGCTGAGGCGATGGGCGAGCAGTCATGGAGAGAGAGTCCATCGTGATACCGAGAAACATTACCTGCTGAGACGGAATCAGGTTGCTCTTCTACCAGTTCACACAAAGACCCAATAGGTCCATGTGATCGAGCAAGGTGCGCGTGTCTGCAGCAGCTTGAGCTTCTGTGGGCGCACAGACGAGCCAGTCGTCCAAATAAGGCAGGATCTTCAACCCTCTGGCCTGCAGAGGACACAAGGCCGCGGCCATGCACCGAGTGAACACACGTGGGGACAGAGAGAGGCCGAACGGGAGAACCCTGAACTGAAAATGCCTGCCCTGAAATGCAAAGCGGAGAAAACGCCAATGCTGTGGTGCAATCGGGACATGAAAATATGCGTCCTTCAAATCGACCAAGGTGAACCAGTCGCCTGAGGGAAATTGCCTGAAGCACGTCCCTGATGCTCAACATGTGGAAAGGGATGGACTTCATGTAAAGATTCAAACCCCTCAGGTCCAAAATTGGGCGGAGTCCCCCAGTCTTTTTCGGAATTAAAAAATACTTCGAGTAAAAGCCCCCTGGGTCCCGCTGGGGGTTGACGGGCAAAATAGCACCCTTGGCCAGCAAGGTGTCTATCTCTTGGCTCAGAGCCTGAGCTTTTACCTGGTCGTGAATCACCGTCATCCTGACTCGACCAGGGACAGGAGGGCGGCGGCGGAACTGTAGCGTGTAACCCCGGGTAAGTGTACACACCACCCATGGATCGGACACAAGAGCGGCCCAGCAACCGAGCTGCTCCGGGGTAAAGTGTCCCACCGCCGGTCCAGTGACGTCATCTCCGAGCCCCCCTGCCCTTCGGGGGGCGGGAGGGTTGCTGAGTTGCCCGCCCAGGTTGAGGAGCGACATTAGCTCGACCCCTCGGTGGATCGCAGTGGCCATGGGCAGGCCAGGCAGCAGGCCCTGCAGCAAACCGTGGCTGCCCCAAGCAAGGTGTAGTCCGGGCAGGATAAGTATATGACAGGGACACAGAGGCACTCCTAGTAGGACGCTGCGCTCGTCTGCGATGCAGACCGGCCAACTGTTGCCTGGTACGCGAGGCCTCGGCCGATCGTTCCAGGGCTGCAAGTGCAGCGGAGCCAAACAACTCCCCAGGAACAACTGGAAGGCCCATCAGGGTCCTTCTACATGCCTCCGTCAGAGGAGACTGAGCCAGCCAGACCTGGCGACGTGCCTGAACAAGGGTAGACAGGACACGTCCAACCTCCCTCGACAGAAGAGCAAATGCATGGAGGGATGCATCCATCAGTCCTTGGGTAGGTGCGTCGATCGCGACACCCTCCAAGGAAGCCGAGAGACCCAGTAATAAATGCGACAGGGAATTCCCAAGTCGCCCCAAACGAGCCCCAGAGTCATAGGCTCTACAGAGCAGATCGTCAGTGACACGGCACTGAGGACAAGGACACCTGGCATTGGCCCTCAAAGCCTCATCCGGCGCCACAATGAGGGAAGCTATGGCTGGCTCAACCGAAGGCATATGGCCCAAGCCAAGACTGGGCGCATCATGCATGGCCGCCAGTGCCCTGCCGTCAGAGGTCAGCCTCGAGAAGGCCTTAGTGTCTGTCCAACAGGCATGGAGCTCCTTCACATACTCTGCAGACGGGGGAACCATAAAGGACGCCCTAGCAGTAGGACGCCGAAAGAAAGCACTGGAAGCCGCAGGTTGGTCCTGTGGAGCAGCCAGATGCAACCGGGCGAGGGCAGTTCTCAGAGCGCCCACTACAGAACCATCCTCCTCTGACTGAGACCCAGAAGAGATATGTGAACCGGCTTCTGAGAGGAGTGAGCCGGAGTCAAATTGATCCCGAAAATCAGTGCCAGACGCTGCCAGGGAAATGGCATCATCTTCTAAAGCAGAGACTCCCGAACCAACGCTGTGTCCTTGGTCAGGGTCTCCAGACATGTCAGCGCCACGCTCGCCCCTAAGGGACTCAAGCAACGCCTTCATCCCTTCTAGTTCAGAAGCGAGCTGGGCCACCTGCCCAGATATGCCCTCTGGAACCCTGGGGCTCCTCTTGCTCCTCTTCCGTGGAGGCCCCATAGCCTCAGAAGACACACGTTTCACAGGATGGCTGGCGCTTTGAAGGCCAGCCAAACGAGCGTTACGTATGGACAAAGGCAGGACAGAACAATTAGGGCATGCCGCATCAGTCAAGGCCTCTTCCAAATGATCCAGGCCCAAACAAGAGGGACACAGATCATGCCCATCCTCCAGCTGGAGAGGGGCCAAACAAGCTCTACAGCACGGCGCGTCCAACATGTCACGCTCACAGGGCTAGGTCAGGTCGAGCCGAATTCGCCACTCTTGACACTCACCGAGCGGACAGATCGGGAGACCCGGTCGTGCAGAGAACGCCACCAGGGGTTCCCCAGCAGCAAGGCCACAAGAGAACTAGCCAAGCACGTTAGCAAAGTAAAAAGCAAGCCCGAAAACGGCTGCTACGGTAACAAAAGCAAGCCCGGAAGCGGCTGCCACAGTGAACAAAAAAAAAGCAAGCCCGAAAGCGGCTGCTACGGAAACAGAAAAGCAAGCCCGAAAGCGGCTGCCACAGAAAACAGAAAAAGCAAGCCCGAAAGCGGCTGCTACAGTAAACAAAAAAGCAAGCCCGAAAACGGCTGCTACAGCAAACAAAAAAGCAAGCCCGAAAACGGCTGCAACAGTAAACAAAAAAGCAAGCCTGAAAACGGCTGCTACAGTAAACAAAAAAGCAAGCCCGAAACGGCTGCAACAGTAAACAAAAAAGCAAGCCTGAAAACGGCTGCTACAGTAAACAAAAAAGCAAGCCCGAAAAACAGCTGCTACAGTAAACAACAAGCTGGTCGGAGTCGGCTAACGCCGAGGCACCAGCAACAGGGAGTCACGGTGAGAACGCGTCCCCGTTCGCCGTCGATAAGAGAAAAAAAAAAAACTTACCAGACGAAGAAACCAAGCTGTAAATAATGAAAAGCTTGCGCAGCCTCTGGAGGGCGAGATGAGCCTCGCAGCTCCGACCAAAGTCTCGAGGCTACCAGCGACAAGCAATCAGTGTCGTACCACCTGTTCAACCTGCATGCGAGAAGATGAAAAGGGACTGAGCTGTCGCTGTCACGTGACTATATAGGCACACCGGTGTCACCGGGGGTCACACGTGACTATGTTGGTATAAGATTCTCGACCTGTGCATGCGCAAGAGTGATCATTCGTGCTTTAAGCACCGCCTCTGGCGGTCAGTAGGGATGAAATAGAACACAAGGGGGCAACAGGGGACAGACAGAAAAACCTAAGCAACTTAAATGAATCCAGACACACCAATAAAGCTAGAAAACAAGGAAAAACCTGGCTAAACTTGAAACTGAAAACTTAAAGAAAAAAAATAAAACAAAGATTGTTACAGACGTAGGCTATTGTGTGCCAAAGAAAGTGGAAAACTGTATGACCTCCTGTAACCCCTAACCCTTTCTGCCCTCTCACCTTTATAGCGCTCCCTGCCACACCTCCTTCAGTGGTAGAGCAAAATATAGGTCAGTTTATCAACCTAAACAAAACACCACCACCCAAACCAAATAAACCAGAAACAAACCACACCTAAACACCAATAACTATAAATAGGGATGGGAATCAAAAACTGGTTCCTGTTCCGCAGTTCAGGGAGCAAGTAGAAATCAGGGGGAGATGAGTTTATTTTCCTGAAATTGTACAGTAATGCTTTTTCATTAAACGGATGCCGTCTCCATTAGATTTAGATGACTGTGACGAGACTCAATAAGAGAATTGATAAGGAATCGAATTGTTTCACAGAATCGATAAGGGAATCGCCCAATTCCCACGCCTAACTATAAATGGATCCTACAAGCAGGGTTTAGTCATAAATAATGTAACTAAAATGAATTAGAATCAATGGGAAGGCATAAAGTGGGTAGAGGTGCAGACATCTAGGCGTGTATGTGTGTGTGAGAGAGTACCACGTCACTCTGAGTGGTGTAAACATTGTCTGCCAAGCTCTCCAGGGCGATCCACTTGACGGGCAGTTTGGAAACAGAACCCTGACGGTAATAATCTCCACTGTAGATCTTCTTAGAGAGTCCAAAGTCTGCCACACACACTGACATGCTTTCATCCAGCCTGAAACACACAGAAGAACAATCTAGAACTCTCCTCTTCATGTTCTGGGCCTGCAGATATCACACATAGTCTGGACTTTGACTAGCTCAGTGTGTCTCTAGGTGATGATGAGTCAACCTAACAGAAATTAATAGATAATTCACTAGGTTCTGTGGTGAACCAATAGGAATCAAGGAGCAAATTTCCAATGTAATCAGAGCTATGACTGCACTTATACGCACCAATCAGATACTGAAATTGGACATCAACTCTGATTTTGACCAATTAGCTGGATCGGATATCCGATGAATGATGCTGATCTAGTCAGTTCTATTTCTACTGATATTATACACAGTCATACAGTTACAGTGATGTAATGACTTTAACCCTATATATCACTGATTATGTCATCCCACAGAAAACACACGGCAGCAGCTTTGTTTCTGGCAGCCATCTTAGATTTGGTCTTAGTCTTCGGGACAAAAACTATTAGTCTTAGTCACATTTTAGTCATTACGATATGTGATAGTTTTAGTCAGTTTTATGTTGCACTTCATAAAAAAGTGAACCTTTACAATTTGGAATAAAACCAGGTTCTTTTCCAGACTGACAGCTCTATCCTAGATGTGCTGATGAAGGTTCTCAGTCATCCAGGTCAAAGTCATTCCGTAAAAATTCAAAAAATATCCACTGGACTTGGTTTTCAAGATTTGAAGACGTTTCGCCACCTCGCATGTGAAAGTTCACTTTTCACATGCATACCTATAACAGAGGCAGTGGAAACAGTCAGGACACGTCTTGAACAAGATAGTGATTTAAACAACAGGACTAATTTCACTCCGGACCAGATCTGCACACTACTGGGCCTTTGTCTTTCCACAACCTATTTCAAATTCAGAGGTAATTTTTACAGACAGAAGCATGGCTGCGCAATGGGATCTCCAGTATCACCAATTGTAGCCAATCTTTACATGGAAGAAATGGAAAAGAGAGCTTTAGACACTTTCAATGGAATACCACCAAGCCACTGGTTTAGATACGTGGATGACACTTTCGTCAAAATCCAACTAGAGGAAGTGGAAGCTTTCACCAAACACATCAACTCTGTTGACCGTAACATCAAATTCACCAGAGAGGATGCCAAGGACAACAAACTACCCTTTCTGGACTGTCTGGTGAGCATGGAAGGAGATGGAAGCCTAAACATTGAAGTTTATAGGAAACCTACTCACACAGACCAGTATCTTCTTTTTGACTCACACCACCCACTGGAACACAAACTCTCAGTCATCAGAACCTTACAACACCGGGCAGAACATGTCCCTACTAAAACAGATGGGAAGCAAAAAGAACAGAAACACATCAAAGATGCTCTCCGAAACTGTGGTAACCAAACTGGGCTTTTATCAAATCAGCAAGGAAATCCAATAGACACGCAACAGAAGACAGCGATGGGAAAATTAAATGCAAAAACATCACAATCCCTTATGTTGCTGGAGTGTCTGAAAAGCTCAAGAGGATTTTCTCCAAACACAAGATCCCAGTACATTTCAAGCCAAACCAAACCCTTAAACAGAGGCTAGTGCATCCTAAAGATAAAACCCCCAGACCGAATATGAGCGGAGTGGTATATGCTGTTCAGTGCAGCGAGGAATGCTCTGATCTTTATATTGGCGAAACAAAACAACCTCTCCACAGACGCATGACCCAACACAGAAGAGCGGCCGCCTCTGGACAAGACTCCGCAGTACACCTACACCTTGTGGACAAAGGACATTCTTTTGAGGACCAGAATGTCCATATTCTGGATAAAGAAAATAGGTGGTTTGAGAGGGGCGTGAAGGAAGCCATCTATGTTAAGAGAGAAAAACCAACTTTAAACAGAGGTGGTGGACTCAGATTCCAGCTTCCAAAAACATACAATTCAATCATAGACATGATCCCTTCCAGATATCACCAAACCCCCCACCCCATCACAGAGGAACGAGGGACCTACCCGCCCCAGCCGGTGAACAATACCTCCTTAACGACCAACCCTTAACAATCATAGACAGGTTTCAGGTATTACAGGAGACAATCCCCCCCTTAATGGCAATCCCCCCTTTAACGACCGACCCCTAGAATCATAGACAGGTTCAGATATTACAGGCTAACGATGGAACTAACGACCCATTCATCGGTTACCATTGCATGTTTCCAAGCGATACAAGGCGTTGTCTATATAAGACTCAAACTCACTGCGGATCCAGACATTTGAATTGAGAAAGCTTCCTGGAGAGGTGGTGAAACGTCTTCAAATCTTGAAAACCAAGTCCAGTGGATATTTTTTGAATTTTTACGGAAAGCTATCCTAGATGCTACAATAGCTGGGTATAGAATGCTGCCTTGCAGTTCATCATTGCTGTTGGCAGAAAACTTTGATTTATAGAATTCAATAAACTTTTTTATGAATTAATGCCCTACTTTGTAAGAATGTGTCTTACAAAAGGTGTGAAAATAAGACATCTAGTTCAACGCATCATATTGGTTAATATAGCAGACAGACAAGCTACCAAAATGTCCAATCAAGGAATGGTTTTAGACATCCAAAGTTTCCATCCCAAATCGAACACTTCCTGATCTACTATGAATTATGCATTAAACGCAGATCAATAAAATCTGCATTACTCCAAAAAAAGCAAAGAACAAAAACATTCTTCTTTCTACTTTGGTAATTTTGGCTTTATTTTTGAGAATAAATCCCTCGGTTCCTACTGCTCAGGAGTCAAAGTAGATTTAAATTAACAGGGTTTGATATAAAATAAATACAGAGAAAACCTCTAATTGCCTTATAATGTCATGGCAACCCAGACCCAGAGAACCCAACACCCCAAAAAATTCACCCGGCCCTTCCTCCCCCTCAATACACTATTCGCCCCTCCCTCCACCTCCCTTTGGGGAGAGCAGAAATGACAGCCCCAGCACCGGCAGGCCACCCAGACCCAACAACAGCCCCGGGCGGGGGCAGGGACAGGCTGCAGGGCCCATCGCCAGCCCCCACCACCCTGTCCATCCAAAAACAAATGAATAAATAAACTCTGGCTGGCTAACCCGTAAGCACCATGCAGAACCCCCACCTAGGACGCAGCCCGCACCCAGGGAGGGCATGGACCAGGACCGAGACAGGGGGCCAGACACCATGTCCTTCAAATATCCACAGCGGTGAGTCCAGGGTTAACCTTTGACTATCTTATAATTTAGGAAGTAATTTTATACAGAAATAACTTGATGTCATTATCTGATGGATTCAACTGTGATGTGTGTAAAGATTTATAGAAAATAAAGATTTATATTTATATTCCTTCCCTACAACTTTAAGACCAACGTTTTCTATGGGAGCTGGTTAGATAACAGGACAGTTTAGAAAGTGGTCTGACTGACATGCAGTTCCGTGCAGCGAGGTCTCTGTGAATGATGCTCTTGCTGCTCAGATACTCCATCCCCCGAGCAATGTCCAGCATGAACTGGACCAGAGTCTGAAGCGAAAGGTCCTGTAACAGAGACAGCAGGTTCTCAGGAGTTCAGCAGGCACCCAGGGGCAAATATCAAATAGTCTTTGCTCACAAATGGCTCCTCTCCCAAACGTGAGAGCAACAGGAAGGTGTGCAGATCCCCATGCTTCATAAATGGTAGGACCACCATTGGGATTGGGAGCCGCTGGCCATGACGTTGGTGTAGACTCACCCCTATTGGATAGAACAGACTGTAAATGTTAGTCCAACAGATCATTTTAGTATTTCTGTTAAGCTGGAGTGTTACCGATGAGCTTGATGACGTTAGGATGGTGAAAGTCCTTCATGTGGGCTGCCTCCTTCAGACATTGCTCAATGTCACCAGCAGAAGTGATGTCAGCTGCACCAGAACACAAACATTTACACGTTGCAGGTTAGTCCAGTCTGTGTGAACCTGATGTAAAACTGTCTTCTGGGGCTACCAGCAACAATAAAACCTCTGTGGATTCAGAAAACCACTACAGGATCAGGAGCTGATGGAAATATCAACAGCGATATGCTTTTAAGAAATACAGTGTTAAAAGATCTGGAAGATGTGCTGCAATGGATGCAGCCAGGGGCGGATTGAGGAAATGTGGGGCCCTAGGCAAAGACAGGCAGGGGGCCCTCTGAATTGAGAAGACAATACATAAAACAGACCCATTCTACAGATAGAGAAATGTTAATAGAATAGACATCCATGATCTGTTCTAGGTTTTGTCCCTTTTCTTGTTGTTTTTCTCTCTATGTTTTGTACTCAGCTGACTTTTCATGCTGTCTCTAAAGGAATGAAAGATTTTTTTCCAAGCACACTTAATATTATCAGCGTTCTGATGGCATTTTAGCCAAAGGATTTTTATCAAAAACATAATTAATGCAGCTCTTGTAATTGTGTTGCGGCTCTTGTAGTTGTGTTGCGGCTTTTGTATTTGTGTTGCGGCTTTTGTATTTGTGTTGCGGCTCTTGTAATTGTGTTGCGGCTTTTGTAATTGTGTTGTGGCTCTTTTAATTGTGTTGCAGCTCTTGTATTTGTGTCGCGGCTTTTGTATTTGTGTTGCGGCTTTTGTAATTGTGTTGCGGCTGTTGTATTTGTGTTGCGGCTTTTGTATTAGTCGTGACACCTCTGGGCCACCGTACTAACAGCCTCAGGAAGCCATTTTTATGGCTGCAAACCTTTTGTAGGTACAGTTCACATAGAAAGAGTGGTTTCAGCCAGTCTGCAAATTAGACTGTTGCACTGGGTCTCCCAGCTTCACCCGTTCTACTAATAGGACTGAACTGATGGGGCAAAAACAAATTAAATGTAGACTTCTGATAAAGGAAGCTTTCCATTCTAATAAAATAGTCCTTGAAACATAATTGAATTGTTTCTGAACATAAAAAAAACTAAAGCTGTATTTCTGTAGTTCAAAATGGTTTGATAGAGATGCAAAACATTGTGTGAAAAAAAGAAAATCAGAATCTGACTCACATTTCAGCACTTTGACGGCCACCTTTGACACCACAGATGAGTCCTCCCTCTTCAGAATGGCTTCCCGCACTGAGCCAAACTCTCCTGCAAAGGTCGACATGCAAACATCAACATCCACTTATCCTCTAATCTGCTTTCTTTTTTTCCATTTCTGTTAGGGTCTCGGGCGTTTTGGTTTTTCTGGTGCGAGTCAGCTTCCTGTCAGAGAGGATCTTTGCTGGTGGCTGTGGCGACCCATGTTGCTGTACACCTGAGATCATTTCTCCATCCAGATGACCAGCATCTAAATAAGGAGGCGAAGGATAATCTCTCTTCACCGGAGGATTTGGATTTTAGCCAAAGACCTAAACCAGAAATATTCTTCTGGTTGAAATTTGTTTTCTAGTGAATCTCTTTTATGTGGACTTATTGTTCCAGCCAACAGTGAACCTCCATTCTTCTCTGATCTTCATGGAAAAGGTCTCACCTACGCTCCATTCCCTGCCAGCCTGCTCTCCAGCATCACCCTCACGTTCTCCTGGACCTCCAGGGTTCAGTCTGTAAGGCCGATGAATCAAGCCTTACAGAACCATGGTGCCTCCTCTTCATCATAGGCAAATTCATCAGTTGTCATAAACCTACGCCTTCTTGATCAGTTTCATTTTCAGGTTTTTACACAATCAAGAGCAACTGATCAAAACTCAACTAATCCAAGCCTGAAATCCCAAATGAGCCGGAAAGGTTTTGTAGAAGGAGAGAGTGTCAGGAATCCAGTTTGTGCGGTCTGTTTTTGTGTTTCCTTTCCTCCTCCACCAGGTGGTGCCCCGTCCTCATTGGGCCTCCCTGCACACCTGCAGCTCGTTGCCTCATTACCTGTGGAGTGCTCTCAAGCTGCTGACTGCCACTACCTCGTCGCCAGAGTGTTTGCCAATACTGGGTACTCTAGCCATGCTTAGTTTAGCTGAGTCTAGCCTGAGTTTTTGTTTACCTGAGCTTAATCTTGCTGTTTTTGTCTTTGCCTTTCGGTAGGAATTCATCCTGCAAACTGGATGTTTTGGACCTTCTCTCCCCTGGAAGGATCTTCTGAGAACCAAACTGAGCTAAGGATTCAAGTTTGTGGTTTGGATCAACCTTTTCCCCCAAGGATTGTCTGGGGCTTCTCTCTGAGGAGGGGATTCATCTCCACTATAACCCATTCAAGGACAGCAGGAAATCTAAGTGGCAGCCAGCTTCTCCGTTCACCAAGGAACAACCGCAGTCTGAGTAAACCCTGTCCGCCCCATCATCAAACAGGACAATCACTGGAACATCCCACACAGACTGGATTCAATAAAGACACCTTTTCCTGGAAACGTGAGTCTGCAACCTATTCCTCCTCTTCAAGTCAAAGAATCTAATTTCCCACTGAGCCTGAACTAACCGCAGTGTCTTTCCCTCACTTTCAGTTCCGGCTTGACAGTGTTCAGAGCAGCACTGGATTCATCAACACTAAATAAACTCGTTAAACTTTTCCTGGTCTCTCCGTTTGCTCTTCTGCATTTTGGGTCAGACCTTTAGTAAAATAGTGACAGAGAGAAGCAATGTTGAGGAGGAATTTCAAACCGCCTCTTCCTCTGATCATAATCCAGATCTTTGGACACAAACTGAAACAATTTCAAGAGCTTAAAATACCCGCCCAGACTATCAGTAATTCTATATTATTAGTTTTACTAATTACGGCTGCAGGATCTCTGGTGGACTCTGACAATATTGAGAAGGAGCAGCTAAAGCAGTGCTGCTGAATTAACTGAATTTTCCCACGAAGTGCCCCATTCAGCCCTTTGTAAATATAACTTGTTAATTAACATCCACTTCATTTGAAGGAATCCTCGCCTATTTTGCATACACAAATGGAAAAGCAGATAATTGAGGAACTGTACGCCCAAATTACATGAGTGATACATCATTTGAAAGCTAACACCTTCTAGTTTCTGAAACTATACATGCAAATAGTGTGTGTGAAACACAGCTTAAGTTGCATCAGTTCAAACATGACTTACATTTTTTTTATTCTAATGTAATGTCTCATTGTGTTACATTAGTTCTACATCATGTCAACCACAAATGCAGAACATTTCAGACCTTTAGCTGCAACATTTCCAGAGCTGTGGGGCTTTGAACTTTTGGTGTCACCAGCATCTCCAAAAATCTCAAATTGTGCCAAATGCTTTTACTCAACTATTTGTGGCCACAAAACATTTATAAGGCAAGTATTTTTTTTTACTTTTTTTCAGAATAAATAAAAAATAGTGAAACTGCTGGTTTTCAAGCTAAAAAAAAGCCCCAGTGTCTTTTCTTAGATGTATTTTTATTTTTTTGGCATTGTAATGAAACAAAACCAGCGTCCAAACTTCAAAGATATGGGACCGTTGTAAGTAAACGCTTCGAGCTGAGCGCATTGATCCAGCCTCAACTGTGTATTTCACTCTAACGCAAACCGCTAACACAGCTCTGCTTTATATAACGCAGCCATAGAAAGCCTTGTTTGAAACCTCATTTCATTGGCTACAAAGCCAAACAGCCCACGTGGTTTTAACCAATAAGAGCAGGACTCAATGAGGCGTAATATCGCTCTACTCAGTGCGTCATCGGCTGACAGGCAAGGAGCGCTTGGGAGACCTCGCCGACTTTAACTGACTCGAATCCAGTGATAAAAACATGAGGACAATTTTGTCTTCTAGGTAAGAAGACGATGTAAAAAAAAAAAACAAATATCGTGGCCTAACGTCAGCCTTATTAACAATCTATGAACTTCTAACTTTTCTAACGTCAAAAATCGGATGTTATGTGGCGATTTTCTCATCTAGAACATTTTTATAATGAATATGCTGGATTACATTCAATCTGTGGACACTTACAGACGAATGGAGTATAAACAATTGAAGATTGGATTTATAAAACTGCTTTTGGATGCCTTTAAAGGTACGTAGCAGTGGCTGCTTTGTTTTTTTACATTTTGACAGGCTGCTATTTCTGTGTTAATTGTGCTTTGGTGCTTGCTGTGTCCATCAAACGATCTTGGTGATCGAATTGTGGAGAATCTAAGCTTTCCAACGATGTCTAACATGTCTATATTGGTAAACATTTTACTGGTGGAATCTTCATGCTTTCTGAGTTAAAACGGAGGCCGGCGATTGGGTGGATTTTATTAAAGGATGAACTGATTAAAAAAATAAAAAAGACAATTTTTTCGAGTTCAAAATAAAATAGAAAAGTTTGAAACGAAGCAGGAATTTAGGTGAAAGGACTCCAACCAAGTACTCCTGCCAGATGATTAGTAGGAAACAGACGTAATCCTCAGGAGGCCCATATCTCTGCATTAAAAGTCGGTTTGATGATTGTAAATCTGCCCTAAGCCCTGATCATCTGCTGTTAGACCAGCCTAATGTTAAGCTGTCCCCATCCAGACTGACTGGGAAAATCCAAATCTAAAATAGGCATTTCTTCTTATAATAAGGAGGTAAAAGAGACACTTTACCAATGGAACAAGACAATTTACTCTTTAAATAAGAAAATAACAGTTGCATTGTATCTATATATCTATCAGTAACCAACGTTCTGGTCAGGTTAGTACCGGTTTTTAATAGTTGTGGTACCTTTTCCCAGCATGTGTCCCAGAGTTAGAAGTCTCTCTGGAATCAGGACATCCTGCAGCTTGTTCTTCAGCTCGTTGCTGATGCAGAGACTCTCCACTGAAAGGAGACAGAAAGTCACAGCTTTTTAGTTTTGCCCCCTAAGATCACTGAAACACTTTAACGTTTCTTCTGGTGAGAAGATGAGGACGAGGAAAGCTGAGTTTTCATTAGTCAGACTGCTTCAGCGTTAGGCTGACATCAAACACAGAGCTGGGAAATAGATGTACGGAAGAGTATTAGGGCCACTGAAAAAAAAAAAAAAGTTACCTGATTTTTTTTATTTCATTTCAGTATAGTATGGGAAAAAAGTCAGAATTCTGACTTTAATCTCAGAATTCTGACTTTTTTATTATCAGAATTCTGAGATTAAAGTCAGAATTCTGACTTTTTTCTCATGTTAAACTGAAATAAAATTTAAAAATCTGTTAACTTTTTTTTTTTCAGTGGCCCTAATCCTCTTCCGTATAGATGCGACATGTAAAAATCTGTTTTTACATGATGCCTGAATGCATCTGCTGAAAAAAAAGAGCTGCTCCTAAAGAATGAAGTCCTACCTTCTTAGTAAAATCCTAACCTGTAATTACGCCCTCTTAGGGTTGAGTTTCAGAAACCACACCCAGGCCTGATAACTGCCAGATGTAAAGAGGCTGGAGATCAGGAACAGAACCAGTCTAACAACAGGAAGGGACTCATCATGTCCCCATCTAAAGATGAACACAAACAGAATCCCTGAGGCTCTTCTGAAGCTTTGAACTTCCACAGAACCACGGGTGCTTCTAGATGGGGCCAGTAGGGGCCAACAGGCCCCAGCCCATGCTTTGGTCTCTTTACTGACAACATTGTACTAAATCAATTGATGACGATAACAGCCACCGGCACAAGAAGTGTGACTGAATGCTTTCTTGGACGGATTTCGATTTTAGCTTAAAGGAATAGTACACCCAAAACATGATTAGCCTTCATTTTCTACTCACCCCCATGCTGAACAACACTCTGGAGTACTTTTATGATATCTCAAATGCATCTGGAGATCTGGGAGGCTTCTTGCTGTCTGCTGACATTCAAATAATGGAGGTCTATGGTGCCCGAGACAGAAAGGTCCATAAAAGTCCACAAAAAACGTGTCAATATTCCTCCATACTGCTCATCCAATGTATTCCAAGTGTCCTGAGTGGGTAGCATTCAGAATTTACTCGAAACGAAGTCATTTAGAATGTTTTTAGAGCATAAACAGTAGTGTATAGGATTTCCTGAAAGCGCGCACATGCGCGCTCACGACGCTACGGAAGCCGGCAGACCAAACCAGATGAAAGTGCGCATTCAGCGTCTGCTCTGCCAATAATGCAAGCGTAGAAGAAAAAATGTGCTGTTTACCTGTGCAAAGAAAGAAACAACGAAAGAAAAATGTCTGAGGACTTCAGTGTTGAGGAAGAGCATGAGTTCTTTGCCGAGCTGAATGCGCTTTGAACTTTCCCACTGCCTGTCTTGCCTTCAATTCTGGGTCCAATATTCTGAGATCATTACAGGTTCATCACACTGCCTACCATGCCACACTGCAAATCATGTGGCACGGTAGGGAAGCTAAGATTTTTATGAATGTCTGAAATGTCCTGATTACGACGGCTGACTGTAAGGAGATGATGCGGTCTGCTCATACGCTGTTTGTTATCTTAGAACTGAGCCAGAACTAAACCGCACCGAGCCCTGCTGATGAACTAGTACCCTGTTAGCGCGGTTCGGTTTTGTCTGGTTCATTCCGGGTCAGTTGTGTGTACCATTTACACTCAACAATTATCTCAGTTACCGTGCTCGGACCAATCTTGGCACAGTTTCAGAAGGGTAGTGAAAATAGAAATAAGTTTATAGCAGGGATCACCAACTTGGTGCCCGTGGGCACCAAGGGGCCCTCAAGGACAACATGGGGTACCCTCAGCATCTTTTGAAAACAGAACAATTCACAGATAGAATCTGAAATGTTATTTTTTTACTGAAGCTCTTATTTTGAAGCATTTATGAAGCATTTTATCATATCAATAATTTAGAACATTTGAGGATTTATATGGATTTCATAATGAGGATATCTAAAAGCAAATTAAAAATAAAAAGAAACAATAGAAATATGTTTGTTATCTATGAAGTTCAGGTGAACGCCGGCTCCTCTTGTTCATAGGTCAGTATTGGTAGCCCGTCCTATGACTCAGTACCCATAAAGTAGCACTCAGTCTTAAAAAAGTTGGTGACCCCTGGTTTATAGTGTTCCGGCTTGAAACCACCCAGTGTGACCAGATTAAAACTATTCTGCAAAGAGAAGGAAGCACAGTTCCTCCACAGAAACACCCAGGAGGTGATCTAGATCTAACCAGATTCTCCTCCTTTTAAAACCAGTGAAGATTGTTCTCCATCTCTGTCTGCGCTCCACAGACTTTTTTTTAAAACAACTCCATGTTCTGATTTAGACAAACTTTTACTCCATTACCGTATTACTTTTATTGCTGTGAAGCTCTCTATGATTTCTATCTGTGAATGGTGCAATAAAACTGTAAACTACCCGGTTACCAGAATGTTCTTAGACACAGACAGATGTGACCCCTGCAGCCGGCAGGTGAGATTAAATGATTTATATCTACTATCAAAACAGCAAAACAATAAATGAAGCCTGGTATGGATCTGAAACAGAGCAGCTGCTCCTTGGCGTCTCATCCAGCTAACATCTGAAGGAGGCGCAGACTTTTCCACAGCTCTGTGCTCAAAGAGGCGTTAAATGTCTGCTCCACCTCAGAATGAGGGACAGGATGTAGGACAGGTCAGACTCACAGGTGGACTCATGGAAATCATTCCCGTTTCTGCTGAAGGATCGAGCTGCCGTGAAGAACACCGACGTCTCAGGACCAGGAGCCTTAAAGGCCGACCTGCAGGCGGAGAGCAGCAGAAAGACTCAGTGTCATCCATCTGAGCAGACATGCATCCTCACACACACCGGGCATCGTACCCAAACTTTGTCTCCTTCCCTCTGCGCTGGGCGGCGACTGCGAGCAGGAGGCCGACGATGGTGGCCACGAGCAGGCCGAGCAGGAGGCCGACCCAAACGTGGCTCCGCTGCACCTGGACCTGCGCTGTGGGAGAGCAGGCAGGCAAACATCAGTCCCACTTAGAACAGAACCAAACAGAATCCGCCTTTATTTTTCCCTCCATCAGGAGGAAACATCTAAACTGATCCTAATGAATAACTTAACAACCGGCTAAAAGCAGAACAGGAAGAAAACATCACATGGAGAGGGTACCTAGGGCAGGCAGCACCAGAACCGGGGGGCTCCAAGGTCCACAGCCGACGGCGGTGCAGGCCGCTACCTGGATGGAGGCGTTGAAGAAACGCCCTCCCCCTGAGATCTGAGCAGTGTTGTCCTTAAACAGCAGTGGCTCCTGGAAACACAGCATCAGGTTGTTAGGTACCGGTCCATCCGGTTCTGGGACACCCCCAGGGATGCCGGTATGAGCCTGTCCTGGCTGAGGAGAAGGAAAACACAGCCCCAGTTCCCCTAAACACATTCCCAGTAACATAAAGCGCCTCAGACTGGGTCTTTACTAAGATCTAGGAAGAAAATCATTTAACGGCATCAACAGGTCAACAAAGATCAGTTTCGCCATTAAGGTGGAGAAATTGGTCTGTTGATGATTTATTCATATGTTTTGAATCTCTGTGGTGTTAATAATCGGGTTTCTGTTTCTGACAGAGGTTAAGAGGAAACTGGATTTTTCTGACATGCTAAGACATGTCGAGGCAGGGAGAATAACAGGAAGGCTCATCATGTTAACAGGACCTTTTGGGAACACTCTGGATGGAGATTAACTCAGAGTTAAGGTTGATCTACTCTCTCCATACGCTCTCCATAAATAAATACAGAATGCTAGCAAGCTAACTGCTGACGTAAGAAGCTGAGCAGAGGTGCGTCTGCAGACCTGCTCCTCCATCAGGGTCAGAACAGATCCAATTAAACGTTGAATAAATGATCAGTGGTCAGAGTCAGGGACCGTGAGTGTAGAGTGCTGCTGCTGCTTTCACCTGTGGTTCCCCTCCATGAGTCCACTGCAGCTTGTAGGCCAGCAGCCTCCCCTGCAGCTCATCCTCCTTCAGCCGGGCCCACTGCAGAGACAGCTGCTGCTCAGACAGCTGGAAGCTCAGGTTCCTTGGGGCCGCAGAGGGCACTGCAGGGAGGGTCAAACAGTCAGGGTTAGTTCCACAGGGGGGTACAGCTTCAGCTGCAGTCCTGCAGGGGGTGCTGAAACTCCTCAGCCTGCTGTAATTAATGGATTGAGGCCACAAACAAAAGCTCTTTGTACAGAGGGGACTGGAATCTACTGGAGTGGATCCAGCTGGACCCCCCCCCAGAGCCTCAGCTGTAAGCAGGGAACCAGCAGCTCCACTGTTTACTGATGAAGCTCTGCTCAGCACCTGACTCTAAACAACAACCCAGATTTAGGCCCCTAGACGGGCCCTCACTGTGGGCCCCTGACCGCAGAGGTTCCTTCACCTGACTCCGGAGTGACGAAGTGCAGCCATGGGGAGAACGGGGAGGCTCCCACCTCGTTCAAACAGGACACCCTGCAGCTGTAGTTGGAGAAGCTCCTCAGGCCCGTCAGCGTGTGTTTGTAAGGAGGAACCGGGACCTCCTGCGGGGGGAGGGCCCACCTGCGGCCCGAGATCCTCACCACCTGCAGGAGAGGAGGTCTGCTTCACGTTTACCACCTTAGTGTGTGGGTGTGTGGGAGTGTGGAGTGGGTTTACCTGAATCGTACAGTGGGAGATCTCTGAATAACCATCGGATCCTGGTTTCCAAGTCAAGGTGATGTTGTTGCCTGTGGTCCTGAGAAGCTGCAGAGCGCCCGGAGCTGCTGGCAGCACTGAGGCACACAGACAGGTGGGTCAGGTCCCCCCTCCCATGGAGGCGCTGCAGGACTTCATCACCTGACTCACCTTTAATGTGGGCCGTCCCCGTCCGGGACACGGAGATCCCTCTGGTGTTCTTAGCTTCACAGTAGAACTTGATGCTGCTGTTCACACCTGAACACAAACAGTTCCTGGATGTTAGCTGAACGGACAGGATGGAGGATTTTCCTCCAAGGCTGCAGGTCGGCACCACCTTCGAACATCTATACCCGATTGTACGGAGGCTCTTTACGAACAACTATATGCAAGACACAGATTTTTAAATCCATTTAGGCTGGACTTTGACTAGGGCAGGGGTCGGCAACCCAAACTGCTCAAAGAGCCATATTGGACCAAAAAAACAACCTAAGTGTATTATCCCACTATAGAAAAGGAATACGTGGGCTTAAATATATAATAAGCATTCATGATTAAATGTTTATCCTGGAGCAAATGTCACATAGCAGCATGAGGTGATGGACGAGCAGTTTAGGTTTGGTCTCATTGATGAAATAATAGAAACAGGATAAAGGAATCTTTCTGATGGAGCTGATGGAGTCATGAGGAACCAAGCAGGAACTGACATCCATCAGAGCAGAGCTCTCTAACCCTGAAATTCCTCATCCTCCGTCACCAGCGTTCCTTGGTGGGATTTAGATTTTTAGGATTTGGGGAAAAAATGGAGGAAAGTTCCCATCCCTGCATCAGAGCGCTACCTGTTGGATCTGAGAACGTTTTTCTATGCTTAAACCAAACTAGCAGCAGTAGTAGAGTTTGGAGATTCAATCTATTTCTTAAATCTATCTTTGCTCTCTTCTAATTCATGCAGAAGTTCTGCAATGGCACTTTTTCTCTCCCTCCCAGCTTGGTGGTCGGCTGCATATTTAGCATGGAAATGCCTTTCCAAATTTTTCTTTTTATTTATTGACAACCTCTCATTACAAAGCAAAAACGCAGGCAATCCTTCTACATTTTCTCATCAACTATCTTCCTTTTTTTCCCTTTGGGATCCATGGTCCAAGAAACACCTGCTGCTTTGTTTCCCTGGCAACGCGCCGCGCTGGTTCCAAGTTACAACCACTGATCTCTGTGGCTATGACGCAAATTATTGTTTAAATTTATTCATTATACACATGTTTACAGCATTGGAAAACATAATTTGACCTCCTGCACACCATATTAAAACAAACAAAAAAATTAGATTTTCATACATCTTTGAAAAAAGCTCCAGGGAGCCACAAGGGGGGCGCTAAAGAGACGCATGCGGTTGCTGCCCCCCCAGTTTAGGGCATCAGTACATGCCCTCATCTAAACCCTCCACTGGGTTCTGGGTGGTTCTCTGAACCTCCAGCCCAGTCTCAGGTTCTCCCACTGCACTGCAAAAACCATCTAGAAATAAGTCAACATTTCCTAAATGAAGTGTATTTAGCCTTAAATTGAGCAGGTAAAGAAGATGATCTGCCAATGGAATGAGAATTTCTACTATTTAAATAGGACAATTAGATAGAATGCACTTGAAATAAGACAATGCAATTTTTTTTCTATGTATATTGTGTAGTTCCATTGTTTCAAATACCTCCTCAATTCAAGACAAAATGACTTATTTAGATTTTAGTCTTTTGCAGGGCCTCCTAGATGGTCCTAATTGAGCTCCATTCAACCTCCATCAGCTCCAAACAGCTTTCCTGTCCTGCAGCATGATGCTGCCAGATGTTCATCTACGTGTCCAGAAGGATCTCACTGATGATTCCAGAAGCTCTCAGGAAATAATGAACGGCTAACAAATTGGACTGAAAGTTTTTCATTTCTACGTTTCTTTTGGAAACTGGCTTTTAATACTTAGGACACATTGTTTTATGCTTATGATTTTATTAAATTTTTTCAAAATGTTTTTATCTTTCTGTGAAGCACTTTGGTCTTCCTGAAGTTGTTGTAAAGTGCTATATGAATAAACTTTGATAGATTGAGAACATAAATGAGCCTCGACTTCCATCCATCATCCATCCTTCATCCATCCATCCATCCTTCATCCATCCATCCATCCATCCATCCATCCATCCATCCATCCATCCATCCATCCATCCATCCATCCTTCATCCATCCCTCCCTCCCAATGCCTGCCTGCTCTATTCCAGGCCTGAAAGGAACCATAGGTTCTGAACCAATGCGACCTTATGACCTGGGACATGGAGGATAGAGGGGGATTGTTGTGGTTCTCCCTCCTGGACTCCTCCCAGCCACCAAAGCACCTCCACTGGCTCAGGGGGTCCAACGGCAGCACAGGACAGGTTAAAGGGAGCGTTGGGAAAGGTGGCCACATCCTGGGGCTCCTGTGTGAAGTGAGGGACGCCTGTGGGAGGAGCCGGAGACTGAGCAGGAGACACTGGAGAGACAGATTTACTAGAGCAGAGGCGTCAGGGTCTTACCTTCTACTGTTATCCAGGCTCGCTGAGAGGAGAAGGTCAGGCCGTGGAATTCCACCTCACACCAGTATTGACCAGCATCCTGCTGCTGGACCGACTTCACACTGCCACCAAAACACAGAGGGTCAGAACCAGATCCAACACAGCATCAGGTCCAACATGATGGCTGGAAGATCGGGATCCTGAAACCGGCCAGAGAGGGCGACACCGGGATGTCTTCTGGCATCATGTTCAATCGCCTACAGTTCTCACCTCTTCTAGAGACTAGAGGCTGATATCAGGCCACAGAATGGGTCTGGGTCAGGAGATCATGATCGGCCTGATGACCACGCTGGGAACGCCGGTTCTGTGGCTAAACAAGGCCCAAATCATCATCCCTCCACTGCCATGTTCAACTTGGAAATGCTAAATGCGGTATATGAGATTCTCTGCTGAGGTCTCATCTTTCTGAGAGACAAACCGCGGCTCAGATGCTGCAGATTTTCCCATCAGCCCTTTCCAACGCCTCGCACTCGTTCTACTTTTTCGGCCAATAATCTTAATATTCAACACAATAGCTATAGCGTGAGGCGCTGAGATGATTAGACTTAGACTTAGAAAGTTTTATTTTGTCATTTTCTATACACGAGTGTAAACCAAAAAAAAATTTTTTGTTTAAAACTGCTCTAGACAATTTCATTTTTTAAAAGTGCAGCCATGAAAACAGTAATAAATACATAATAAAATAGTAATATAAACATATGAATGTATGTTTACAGTTCTAACAATTTGTTATTTATTTTTTAATAAATAAAATAAACAATTTTATGCAACGTTCATCAGTCTAATGGCGGTGGGGAAGAAGCTGTTGCAGAACCTGCTGGTCCTGCATTGAATGCTGTGAAGCCTCTTCCCAGAGGGCTGCAGGGAGAACAGTCCATGGTGGGGGGGTGAGGGGTCATTGATGATGTCACGGGCTCGGGACACGCAGCACTGGGATGAAATGTCTTTAATGGAGGGAAGAGGAGCCCCCATGATCCTCTCTGCTGTTCTCACCTTCTTCCAGTCTCAGGCGCTGCAGCCTCCACAGCACACAGTGAGACAGCTGCTCAGAATGCTCTCTATGGTGCTTCAATAGAAGGTGGGGAGGATGGGTGGGGGCAGGTGGGCTCTCCTCATCCTCTGCAGGAGGTCCAAGCGCTTCTGGTTCCTTTTGACCAGTGAGGTGGTGTTTCCAGTTCAGGTGAGGGTGTCTGTGATGAATTTGGTGCTGCTGACCACCTCTACAGCTGAGCTGTTGATGAGCAGTGGAGCGTGGTTAGGACGGTTCTTCCTGAAGTCCTCCATGATCTCCTTGGTCTTCTCCACCTTCAGGATCAGGCTGTTTTCTCTGCACCACCAGTTGCTCCACCTCCTCTCTGTAGTTCAGGTCGTTGTTGTCTCTGATGAGGCCCACCACCATGGTGTCGTCTGCAAACTTCACCATGTGATTGTTGGTGAACCTGGGGACGCAGTGGTGTGTCATCAGGGTGAACAGCAGGGGGCTCAGGACGCAGCCCTGAGGGGAGGGGCTTAGACTGATGACATCAGAGGTGTTCTGTCCGACCCGGACTGACTGAGGGCTGTTGGTAAGGAATTCTAGCAGCCAATGGCAGAGGGGTGTATTGAAGCTCAGCTGTTCCAGTTTTCCCATCAGATGATGGTGGTGTTGAAAGCTGAACTGAAGTCCAGGAAAAGCATCCACACATGGGTGTTCTTCTCCTCCAGGTGTGCCAGGCTCAGGTGAAGAGCAGAGGGGGTGGCGTCCTCAGTGGAGCGGTTCCGTCGGTAGGAGAACTAGAACGGGTCGAATGTTGGACTGGAGACGATGTGTTCTTTAACCAGCCTTTGGAAGCACTTCATCATGATGGGAGTCAGTGCAAGATACCAGTATTCATTGAGTGAGGTCACCTGAGACGTCTTTGGGACTCGAATGATGGAGGCAGACCTGAAGCATGCTGGCGCTATGGATCGGTCCAGCAAGGTGTTGTAGTCTGTGATCATCCGAATGCCGTGCCAAATCCTCCTGGTGTTGCTGGCATCATGGAAGAAATCCTGGATCTTCTGGCTGTGGTTCTGCTTCGCTGATCTGATGGTTTAAGTTGGCACACGTTGCTCTCAGTGCCTCTTTATCACCAGACTTGAAAGCCGAGTTCGGTGCTTTTAGTGATTTCTGAACCTCTCCATTTATCCAGGGTGGTTGTTTGCTGGTGGTGATGTTCTTTTTATGCTGACATCGTCGATGCATTTGTTAATGTAGGCTGACACAGTCATGGCATACTCATCAATATTTAATAAGTTGTGATGTGTTGCTGCAACCTTGAAGATGTTCCAGTCAGAGCATTAAAAACAGTCCTGGAGTGTCTCCATGGCGCCTCTAACAAAGCAACAATACAATTATTACAAAATTAAAAATAGTGTCAACCAGGATGTGCAAAAAGCTTCTGCTAACAGGTGAGCTGAAGGAGGTCTGCTCCGGAAGATAATTCTCCGCTGCAGCAGAGTTCCTGCAGGATCTAGGAGCTTTTAGTTGGCAGGGAGCAGGCAGGTGGGGGAGGGGCAAACCATTTAGAGATTTGAAATGAGATGGAACCAAAGATGAATGGAAGTAATATGGGCAGAATTCTCTGTTCCTGTTAAAAGTTGCTGCAGAGTGATGGACGCATCCTCACCTTAAAATAGAGAGTTAGAGTAATCCAGCCAACAGAATAATCGGCTAAATTTTAATCCCAACTTTTCCTCTTTGCTTTGACTGAACTGTTTGACTGCTGTATGGATTAGAAAGAACTTTCTTTGCTCCGTCCTGCTGGGAAGTGGTAGACACTGCTGTGGAGGATGGGGGAGACCATAAACAGGAAGTGACTGGAACTCCTTTATCCTGTTTTTGGTTTTCCCAGTGGTCCCCCCTGAACATTCCCCTGCTGGGACGTCCCATTCAGCCTGTCAGAATACTTGGAGGAGCGTTCCCTCTGCCTTTGAGGGCCGCTGACAGAGCGGGGCCGAGCACTCGGGGCCCAGTGTACCGCCAAGCACACTTGGCCTGAAATCTTCATCACTTGGACACAGAGCTCTGTGGCTGGTCAACTGGACTGGACTCTCTCTGGAAAACCAGGAGCTGAACCCCAGTCGGCCTCAGCAGATGGCCGCTCACACTGAGCCTGGTTCTGCTGGAGGTTTCTTCCTGTTAAAAGGGAGTTTTTCCTCTCCACTGTCGCTACAAGCATGCTTAGTTTAAGGGATTGTATTTAAGTCAACGAGTCGATGCAATCAACTGGTTTTCCTTAGATAGAAAACTTTGAATCAATTTGGTTGAACTGTAAAGTGCCTTGAGATGACATGTGTTGTGAATTTGGCGCTATATAAATAAACTGAATTGAATTGAATTTAAAGGCTAAACAGGTCATAAATTGTGACTGATTGTGAATTCTGTCTGACCTGGTGCCCAATAGGAAAGCTAACAGATAAATTCGGTTATTCCTTCTGCCAACCAGCTTTTGAATAATGCTGACAGCGCTGCAGACATGACCAGACATCGTAAACTGGTCCCTGCCTGGTCCATGTACTGGGAACCAAGGAAATCTTTATGTAATCTGACACAGACACCATCTGCACCAAGGTTTCACTCCTCTCAGCATGCTGAACACTTGGTTTGAAATATGAATTCTATGCCCTGCATCCCAGTAAACCGTCACTATACAAACTGTGAAGTATCAGAAGCATCACACACCTAAAAAAGAGCTTGATGTTCACTGAACGGCTAAACATGAGCATCAGGGTGCAGAAGGAGGTTAAACTCTGTGGACTCTGACAAGAGGATTAACTAGTTAACCAGCAGTGAACCAGCAATCAGTGATGATCTCAACAGCTCAGTTTTCTTCTAACGTGGTTTTCCTTGCAGTTCAAGCTTTACGTCTAAAATCTCTCCATCTTTGGATCCTCTGATGCAGAAACATCCAAGATGTTAAAAGGAAAATAACCCAGTGATTGAAGAGGGTGGCTACTGGGTTCAGAATCTCATTTCATTTATCACAAACAAAATAATATGTTTGGTCCATGATTGGCTTCTTTAACAACATTTATTTTACAACATATGGCGGACTTTCAATGGTAGCAGTTAAGTTTGGAACTACGGTGTGAATTACTGGATTAATGTTAGAGCAAGACAAAAATAAATTGTTTTTATTTCCATTATAACGAGATGTGCAATCACATTGAGGATGCCTCAAATTAACAACCATGCAATTGTTAGGAAGGGAAAGAAAAAAAAGGTCGGTTTAGGGCCATTTTTATATTCCAGGTTTTATACAGTAGCCCAACAAAGCCTTGTTTTTGCCTAGAAAACATGCAAATTGAAACGGACGAACGGATCCACCCCTTTGGAATGGGGGTCATTTGTTTTTTGTTAGCCTGCAATGCCCCATACCTCTCTATGGCCCCGTCCACACGAAGACGAACCCTGGCCTAAACGCACAAATTTTTCACCAAACCAGCCTCTCATCCACACGAAGCTGGCGTTTCGGGGGTCTGTAAACGATCTTTTTTTTATTCAGCCTTCAGAGTGGGAAGATTTCGAAACGCCGTTTTCTCGTTTCCATCTTTACGCTCTAACCGCATATTTTTTTTTTTACACGCATGCGTCATAGCGTCGCCTCTAAACACGCATGCGCGACCAGTATCACAACAACAATGGCGCCGTTGCTGCTAATGCTACTCACCCTGCTGTCGGGCTTACAACAGAATCTTCTTCTTCTGGAATATCTCCAGGAAGAACAGAGCAATATCGACGACATAGTTCAGCACCTGAATTTGACTTAACCACGAAAATGGACCCGCAGGGCAACCATGTATCAATAATAGTGCGCATGCCCAACATTTCGTCGCTTATTTTTGCTTTGGCGCCACAGCGCCACTTACAGGCCTGGCATACATTTTGCAGCGTTTTCATGCATTCGTGTGGACGCTCACATTTATTTTACGTCTCCGTCTTTACGGCAAACGTTTTGGAAAATATCAGCGTTTCGTGTTCGTTTTGACTTCGTGTGGACGGGTCTTATGTCTCTGAAAGGGGGTTGTTAGAAGGAATTGTTGGCCTGGCTATAAAGGTCTTCTGTTCCCCTGTAAAGGGGTTGGGGTTACAATGATAGCGGGATGGTATCAACTCTATTGCCTTAAATAATTAAGGCTGGAATATATCACTCTTTATGCAGATGATGCACTGATTTCTATTACAATATATCAAGATCATTGAACCAGTCTGGTTCTATTAAACAGAGGAGAATCTTCTCACCTTTCAGTGAAGGAAACTCCACTTAGATACTTGTCAATTTGACCCATATTTCTTACAATAATATTTGAAGTAAAACTAAGAATAATGAGATCAGTTTCTAAGTTTTATGGAGACTACAAAGTAAATCATGGCTGTCAGTCAAACCCTGATCAGCCTTCCTCCTCCTGCTTGTTTCCTCAATCCTCCTTACCGAGCAAAAAGTCTTGACTGTTTCAAAGACAACATAATGACACACCATCGGTATGAAGGAAGCAGCTGAATATTAAGTGAATGATAATGACTCTGACTAGTCACTGCAGCTTAGCAAGTGCCAGACTAGCTTTGTGTGGTTTCCAGGGTTGAAAGATGGTTTTCCTGACCTCATATCTCTAATGAAGAAAGCTTGAATGATGCTGAGACATATTTAATCTAAGAATCTTCCACATGCTTTGCTAAAACAGCAACAACAATGTTTACACTTGGAGGTTAAATCGTAATCTCTCCTTGGGAAGGAGGACAAAGTTTATGAGGAGGTGTGAGAGAAGTAGAATGATCAGTGTTCACAACAAAGAAAGGCCCAGCCTTTATTTACAGCTTATCTTGTTTAGGGCTCAACAGAGCAGAACAAACCTACACATTTCAGAGAGTCCTGAAGAACCAGAGCTCACAGCCTGATAGAATAACTTCTCATCTCCTCTCTGGGTTCTTTCTTCTTCCAGTGAAAGAAAATAAACAGAGTTTCTAATGTTGCGTTCTGTGCTGATAATGATAAAGATCACTTCAACACATCCTCACTGCTTTCAACCTCAAACCTCAGACATTTCCATACAGAGCAAACATTTTAAAATCCACAGTTCATCACATTGGAAACATTCAAATCTTGCTCTGACAGACCGTTGGGGTAAAGTGGCAGTAAGAGGATCTAAAGCTTTGAAAACATGTTAAACATGAAGACCTGAATGGGTGTTTTAACTTCCTTCTGGTAAACCTAAACAGATTCCCGCCTTCAGAAGGAACCTTCCAGCTTAACAGAGAATAATAAGACCAGCGACAGGGAAGGTTGTCAGAGTTAGAAGCATATGGAGACTTCGAAGGAACAGAGAGCAGGATGGAGGTTCACCTTCAGGAGAACCACCCTGAGCATCCAGCCAGAGGTGCAAAAAGGGGTTCAGCAGAGAACCCGTTCAGATCCAAGCCAATTCAGATCCAGAACCCGTTCAGATCCGAGCCAATTCAGATCCGGAACCCGTTCAGATCCAGAACCCATTCAGATTCAAGCCAATTCAGATCCGAGCCAGTTCAGATCCGAGCCCGTTCAGATCCGGAACCTGTTCAGATCTGGAACCCTTTCAGATCCGAGCCCATTCAGATCCGGAACCTGTTCAGATCCCAGCCCGTTCAGATCCGGAACCTGTTCAGATCCCAGTCCATTCAGATCCGGAACCTGTTCAGATCCGAGCACGTTCAGATCCGGAACCTGTTCAGATCCCAGCCCATTCAGATCCGGAACCTGTTCAGATCCCAGCCCGTTCAGATCTGGAACCCGTTTAGATCCGAGCACGTTCAGATCCCAGCCTGTTCAGTCCAGAGCCTCTTCAGATCCAAAAGCGTGTTCAGATCCCAAACCTGTTCAGATCCGAGCCAATTCAGACCCGAGCCCATTCAGACCTGAGCCCGTTCAGATCCGTACCCGTTCAGATCTGAACCCGTTCAGATCCAGAACCCGTTAAGATCCGAGCCAACTCAGATTCGAGCCCGTTCTGATCCGAGCCCGTTCAGATTCCAGCCACTTCAGATCCGAGCCCGTTCTGATCTGAGCCCGTTCAGATCCGAACATGTTCAGATCCAAACCCGTTCAGATCTGAGCTCGTTCAGATCTGAGCCCGTTCAGATCTGAGCTCGTTCAGATCCGAGCCCGTTCAGATCTGAAACCTGTTCAGATCCGAGCCAATTCAGACCCGAGCCCATTCAGATCCGAGCCCATTCAGATCCCGAGCCCATTCAGATCCGAACCTGTTCAGATCTGAGCTCGTTCAGATCCGAGCCCGTTCAGGTCCGAGCCCATTAAAGTGGAAAAATTTATTTTTTTGTCCATCAAATAAAGTATTTGTATTTCTGGAATGTGCAACATGTGAAAAAGTTTAAAGGGCATGAATACTTTTGGAAGAAGCTGTAATCATGTGACCATGACTCCTGCTGACCTATGGGATGTCTCCCAGTGCTGTTCTCCCAGGATGAGGAAGACTTGGTCAGTGCTGTACAGCTTTTCTCCATCCTTCATCCACACGATGTCCGGCTCCGTCACCCCCTCCACCGCACAACCCAGCCTCACTTCGTTCCCCTGAGAAACGGTTTGATTGGATGGGTGCTTGGTGAACTGCACGCCTGCAGGAGAGGGGAATTATAATAGTAATAATTAATCTCATATACACAGAATATTGGAGATGTTTTGAAGACATTTTTATTTCCCGGAGTCCCTGAATGCAACATTTTGTCCAAGTTCCTCTCAGTCATCATTCCACACAAATCATCTAAGTCCCGGCCCCACACTAAGGAGGCAGCAGATTAAAGGTGAAAAAAAAAAAATCTGAAACTGGAAAAAACACATGAATCTAAAAACAGTTTAGTTTTTTTCATATTTCAAATTCTTTGTATTTAGAAATATCTCTTCAGATTCAGTTTTGATTTTTTTATGTTAGATTTTAGATAGTTAGATGTTAAGATTCAAAATGTTTAATTTATTTTCCCCATATATATATATATATATATATATATAAAATATCAAATATCGGGTTAAATATCGGTGGGGTGGCCGATGTCCGATATTCAGATTTAAGGCCGATACAGGCTGATACCGATAGGGGGCCGATTATATCATGCATCCCTACATGATACTCTAGAAGCTCTGCTGTGGTCAGCCTCTGACCATGATGCTACCACCATCGTGCCTTAAAAGGCTTCACCTTGACTTCTCCCAGGACGCCTGCCATCACTGTGGCCAAATGTTTGTCTCATCTAACAGTGAAATGGATCATTGGTGCCCTCTTGGCCCATGCTGATGTCAAACCTTCACTGAGGACAAAGACTCTGGTCTCCAGCAGCTTCCAGGTCAGTCTTGTTATTTCCTGCTGGTTGCTGAACCCTTGAACTCAGCATTTCCAGCTAAAGGGGGCCAATCTTTTTCTGCGCACCTTCAGGTGTATATCTGTGGTGAGCTACGGTTTCAGTCATTGAAGCTCACCTTTCTCACCATGGTTCTTTGAAAATGGCCGAAGGTGGGAAAAGAAAGGCCTCAGAAGAGGCAGATATATCCCAGAATAATTTGCATGGGGAGCTCTCATTGCAAAGCATTCTGGGATTTGCTGTCACAGCGGCCCACTGTCACCATAGGCTGTCACTACCTGACAGCGGTCGGCTAAAAACAAAGATGGCGCAGGCATCGCACAGTGGAGAAGGAGTTATGTGACCACAGGAGCAAAAAGCAGTGATGATCTGTCTGAACGGTCAGCTAACTGAGTTCACTATAAAGTTCACTATATAGTCCCCGCTCTATATAGTGATGATGGATTTAGGGGTTAGGACGTATGGTCGGACACGGTAACATTGGATGAGCTATGACAACAGCAACTTTTAAACAAAGCGTGCACGAGGAGAAATGGGCTTGTGCACGCTCTCGCACATGTTTAATAGGCGTTCCCTCTTGGGAGGAGGTACAGGGTTGTACATATGCATTTTTTTACCTTTAAAAAGTATCACTTTTTTATTCATCATTTTAAATGTATTCTAATTAATTAATATGAAATTTAATCACTTAATTTTGCATTAAAAATTGACAGTAAGTTCAATGTTAAAGATAAAAACTGATTTGCTGATGAAGATTCTCAGTCATCCAGGTCACGGTCATTCCATAAAAATAAAATAAAAATCCACTGGACTTGGTTTCCAAGATTTGAAGACGTTTCGCTACCTCTTGAGAAAGCTTCCTGTCGTCAGATTTTGGAAACCAAGTCCAGTAGATTTTTTTCTTTATTTTTATGAATTTTTACGGAATAAAAACTGATTATGCATTTGGCCCTCCTCATAGTTCAGGGAACACATGACAAGGATTGTGAAATCTATCTGGAGGCCCCCAACAAGGTGTTTGGTGACAGACACCGACAGACTTCAGCTAGCCGCTCTCTGCTGCTCCCTCTTATCACGCACCGTGGTTCATTTAGGGACCGTCAACAAATTCTTAAACCAAACACTCATGAGAAACAAAAATAAATACATTTCTTGTCTTTTGGTCAAATGAAGCAAACCCAATGGTAAATGTTAAAAAAAGTCATTTTCCTGTTTCCAAGATTTTATTTACTTTACATTTATTGTTTTTCTTCAATAGCTTCCAGGTCATGTGACTGAAAATCTGTCTGAAGTTGTTCCACTAGATGAGACACATTCACTTTATTTCATTTTTATATTTTTAGGATTTTTATTTTGTTACAATTCTAATTTTGCGGGTTTTTTTCTGTTTCCCAGGTGTAGGAGACATAAATGGTTATGTGGTGTATGGTGTGTCTCGGAGGTGGAGACTCAAAGGGAGGTGGGTGTGCACCAAGGAAGTAGGTGTATAAGTGCGCATTCACCTGTCTCACTGATGAGAAGAGTAAGAGTGGGGCTGCCACTTCATTTCACTACGTTTCATATTATTTTGTTCCAGTATTCATTCGTTTCCTATATTAACTAACGGATCTAACTTTGCTTGCCACAATCATCCCTGCTGTGCTGTCATTAACTCATGCTGGTGCTAATAAACAAACAAAAGCATCCTGGATTCCAGCGTATCTGTAACAATATAAACATTTAAGCGCGTCACAAATAGGGCAAGAAAGGAGGACCCAACTCGAACTCTCAGCGGCCTAAAGGATCTTTAAGGAAGCCGCTATACCAAGTTTTCTGACCTTTTTGTTGATTGAAAAAAAAAACGGATTACAGTTAAATGAAGCATAAAGAAGCATAAAGATCAGGGTCTGTTTAACAGCCTTGGAAAGGTTAATGATTTCCAGACAGCTGTGGAGGTGAAACCAGATAACGAGTTTAAATTATATAAACCATGTGTTAGCAAAAGCTAAACATACCTCAGAGTAATATTTATGTCAATTACTGAATCAAATTAAGCACAATTATTGATCCATTGAATTTAGCTCACATCATCATGTCACCTCTCTGTTTCTTGCCTAATGACATCACTGCTAGCTTTAACCTCCACATCTCTGGAGAAGTTTCACACCCTAACACCCTTATCCATTAGTTAAGGTTTTCCATTTTGTCATAAAGTGGAAACATCGCTAAAAGAAAAGATTTACAGGTGTCGAATGATTGTCAAGAATGGGAGATATTTTTAATGGTATTCTAGGTAAACTGACAACTTTGAAGCCTCTATGTATCTAACTAACTATGTGTATGTCTATCTATCTATAGATATGCTATTTCTTTAAAAAAAATAATAATTATTTGTCAGGAACTGTTGTGTTTTGGCTGCTGGGTGTTTATTGATTTCTTATCTGTTCAGATATACATTTATAAACCTTTCTAAATAATAGAAGTTGCAAATTGTTTATTATTTCCAAAAGTATATTACTGTACAATTGTTGTCATTTTCTAAATTAATTTATTGCATTTAGTAAAAATGTCTTTAAAAAAAATTAGAATCCTAAATATCTGTTTTTAAAGACATTGCAAAACTTTAAGTTATCCTTTATCTTTGGAAATCTGATCACTAAAAGGAAAAGTCAAAGAATATTAAAAGAGCAAAAAGGAAAGAGATGAATAAATGTTTTACTCCCAACTAAACCTTATATATGCTGCATTTTTTAAATCATATCAGTCTCCAAAAGAAAAATTCACTAACTTATCAAAGTGAAAATAGATGAAAAAGGATACATCTATTCTTAAAATCATAAATAGCGATACTTGGTTGCAAATTAAATAGCTTTTCTGCATTTAGTTATTATACTAATTTTTCTGATTAACTTTCTGAATTCTGATGATATATGAGGGATCCAAACAGAAAGGGAGCTGCAGATCAAATGCTAGAAAACAGCCTTAAAATAGAGCAGGACAGAGAGCGCCTCCAATCAGGGTCACACACTGGTTTATTTCTCAGAACCAGCTGGGATCTCTCGCCCTGGGTTCCTCTAGATCTTTAGGTCTCGTCTCTCAATGACTCCCACAGGCACCGCCTGCCCACAGTTTAATCTGAAGCCAAAGACAGAACTTAAGATAGTTAATCCCTTCTTAAGACATATTTCTTTACCTTGGCTTTTTTACAAATTCTGAGCTGTTGATCCTGCTTCTTAATGTTCAAATAAAAAAACCTTAAATACTTATACATGTATATGGGTTTGTTAGAGTCAATACATTGTTCCCCCTCATGTTACTTTTCCTTTGTTTCTTCATGTTTATCAAGACAAAAATCAGCAAACTATTCCTAACTGAATTTATCCAACAATACATTTGAATAATAAAATCATAAAAATATGAAAAATGCTTTTAATAAACTTAAAATTTGTGCCTCTTTGATGTAAACTAATTCCAGAATTAGCCATCAGTTTTGTTTCAGTTGGCCACAAGACAAGGAATTTATTTATTTTTGTTCATCATGAGCGTTTGGTTCAGAAATTTGTTGACAGTCCCTAAAGGAACCACCGCAGGACAAGGGTTAGCAACAGGTTCAGGTTCTAAAGCTCAGGTTCTACAGTTCAAGATCTACAACTCAGTTGCTAAAGGTCAGGTTCTACAGGTCAGGTTCTACAGCTCAGGATCTACAGCTCAGTTTCTACAGGTCAGGATCTACAGTTCAAGATCTACAACTCAGTTGCTAAAGGTCAGGTTCTAAAGGTCAGATTCTACGGCTCAGGATCTACAGCTCAGTTTCTACAGGTCAGGATCTACAGGTCAGGATCCACAGCTCAGGTTCTACGGCTCAGGTTCTACAGGTCAGGTTCTACGGCTCAGGTTCTACAGGTCAGGATCTACAGGTCAGGGTCTACGGGTCAGGATCTACAGGTCAGTTTCTACAGGTCAGGATCTACAGGTCAGGATCTACAGGTCAGTTTCTACAGGTCAGGATCTACAGGTCAGTTTCTACAGGTCAGTTTCTACAGGTCAGTTTCTACAGGTCAGGTTCTACAGGTCAGGTTCTACGGTCAGTTTCTACAGTCAGGTTCTACAGGTCAGTTTCTACAGGTCAGGATCTACAGGTCAGTTTCTACAGGTCAGTTTCTACAGGTCAGGTTCTACGGTCAGTTTCTACAGTCAGGTTCTACAGGTCAGGTTCTACAGGTCAGGTTCTAAAGGTCAGTTTCTACAGGTCAGTTTCTACAGGTCAGGTTCTACGGTCAGTTTCTACAGTCAGGTTCTACAGGTCAGTTTCTACAGGTCAGTTTCTACAGGTCAGGATCTACAGGTCAGTTTCTACAGGTCAGTTTCTACAGGTCAGGATCTACAGGTCAGGGTCTACAGGTCAGTTTCTACAGGTCAGTTTCTACAGGTCAGGTTCTACGGTCAGTTTCTACAGTCAGGTTCTACAGGTCAGTTTCTACAGGTCAGGTTCTAAAGGTCAGTTTCTACAGGTCAGGTTCTACAGGTCAGTTTCTACAGGTCAGGTTCTACGGTCAGTTTCTACAGTCAGGTTCTACAGGTCAGTTTCTACAGGTCAGGATCTACAGGTCAGTTTTTACAGGTCAGTTTCTACAGGTCAGTTTCTACAGGTCAGGTTCTACGGTCAGTTTCTACAGTCAGGTTCTACAGGTCAGGTTCTACAGGTCAGGTTCTACGGTCAGTTTCTACAGTCAGGTTCTACAGGTCAGTTTCTACAGGTCAGGATCTACAGGTCAGTTTCTACAGGTCAGGTTCTACGGTCAGTTTCTACAGTCAGGTTCTACAGGTCAGTTTCTACAGGTCAGGTTCTAAAGGTCAGTTTCTACAGGTCAGTTTCTACAGGTCAGTTTCTACAGGTCAGGTTCTACGGTCAGTTTCTACAGGTCAGTTTCTACGGTCAGTTTCTACAGGTCAGTTTCTACAGGTCAGTTTCTACGGTCAGTTTCTACAGTCAGGTTCTACAGGTCAGTTTCTACAGGTCAGGTTCTAAAGGTCAGGATTTACAGGTCAGTTTCTACAGGTCAGTTTCTACAGGTCAGGATCTACAGGTCAGTTTCTACAGGTCATGTTCTACAGGTCAGTTTCTACAGGTCAGTTTCTACAGGTCAGGTTCTAAGGGTCAAGATTTACAGGTCAGTTTCTACAGGTCAGGATCTAGAGGTCAGGTTCTACAGGTCAGGATCTATAGGTCAGTTTCTACAGGTCAGGATCTACAGAGCAGGGTCTACAGGTCAGTTTCTACAGGTCAGGGTCTACAGGTCAGTTTCTACAGGTCAGGATCTACAGGTCAGGATCTACAGGTCAGTTTCTACAGGTCAGTTTCTACAGGTCAGTTTCTACAGGTCAGGTTCTACGGTCAGTTTCTACAGTCAGGTTCTATAGGTCAGTTTCTACAGGTCAGGTTCTAAAGGTCAGTTTCTACAGGTCAGGTTCTACAGGTCAGTTTCTACAGGTCAGGTTCTACGGTCAGTTTCTACAGTCAGGTTCTACAGGTCAGTTTCTACAGGTCAGGATCTACAGGTCAGTTTTTACAGGTTAGTTTCTACAGGTCAGTTTCTACAGGTCAGGTTCTACGGTCAGTTTCTACAGTCAGGTTCTACAGGTCAGGTTCTACAGGTCAGGTTCTATGGTCAGTTTCTACAGGTCAGTTTCTACAGGTCAGGATCTACAGGTCAGGTTCTACGGTCAGTTTCTACAGTCAGGTTCTACAGGTCAGTTTCTACAGGTCAGGTTCTAAAGGTCAGTTTCTACAGGTCAGTTTCTACAGGTCAGTTTCTACAGGTCAGGTTCTACGGTCAGTTTCTACAGTCAGGTTCTACAGGTCAGTTTCTACAGGTCAGTTTCTACAGGTCAGGATCTACAGGTCAGTTTCTACAGGTCAGTTTCTACGGTAAGTTTCTACAGTCAGGTTCTACAGGTCAGTTTCTACAGGTCAGGTTCTAAAGGTCAGGATTTACAGGTCAGTTTCTACAGGTCAGTTTCTACAGGTCAGGATCTACAGGTCAGTTTCTACAGGTCATGTTCTACAGGTCAGTTTCTACAGGTCAGTTTCTACAGGTCAGGTTCTAAGGGTCAAGATTTACAGGTCAGTTTCTACAGGTCAGGATCTAGAGGTCAGGTTCTACAGGTCAGGATCTATAGGTCAGTTTCTACAGGTCAGGATCTACAGAGCAGGGTCTACAGGTCAGTTTCTACAGGTCAGGGTCTACAGGTCAGTTTCTACAGGTCAGGTTCTACAGGTCAGGATCTATAGGTCAGTTTCTACAGGTCAGGATCTACAGGGCAGGATCTACAGGTCAGTTTCTACAGGTCAGGATCTACAAGTCAGGATATACAGGTCAGTTTCTACAGGTCAGTTTCTACAGGTCAGTTTCTACAGGTCAGGATCTACAGGTCAAGATCTATAGGTCAGGTTCTACAGGTCAGTTTCTACAGGTCAGTTTCTACAGGTCAGGTTCTAAGGGTCAAGATTTACAGGTCAGTTTCTACAGGTCAGGATCTACAGGTCAGTTTCTACAGGTCAGGATCTAGAGGTCAGGTTCTACAGGTCAGGATCTATAGGTCAGTTTCTACAGGTCAGGATCTACAGAGCAGGGTCTACAGGTCAGTTTCTACAGGTCAGGGTCTACAGGTCAGTTTCTACAGGTCAGGTTCTACAGGTCAGGATCTATAGGTCAGTTTCTACAGGTCAGGGTCTACAGGGCAGGATCTACAGGTCAGGTTCTACAGGTCAGGTTCTACAGGTCAGGATCTATAGGTCAGTTTCTACAGGTCAGGATCTACAGGGCAGGATCTACAGGTCAGTTTCTACAGGTCAGGATCTACAGGTCAGGATATGCAGGTCAGTTTCTACAGGTCAGTTTCTACAGGTCAGGATCTACAGGTCAGTTTCTACAGGTCAGTTTCTACAGGTCAGGTTCTACAGGTCAGTTTCTACAGGTCAGGATCTACAGGTCAGGTTCTACGGGTCAGGTTCTACAGGTTCTGTGGATGAAGAACCGAGCATTAGAAGCGCGCCTCCACTCTTTAATAAGGGCAAAGTTAAACTATCAGAACTTCCTGTTTGAACAAACAGTGGAGACAGAAATCTGGGAGTTCTGGAGGGAAACATTAGCGGTCCCATTAACTCCCACAGCTCCCAGTCAGAGCAACACTTACCGCTCCCACAGCTCCCAGTCAGAGTCTGCAGAAAAACAGCAACAGTCCACAGCAGCGGTTTCATCTTCTCAGTCCGTGGGCCTCTTCATCTGTCACTCACAGCAGGATTTCTCTTTGCTCTGTTCATAAAGCTCCATTTTCCAGCGCGTGAAAAACCAAACATCGAGGGAACCACAGAGTCCTGAGAGGGGAGGAGAAAACAGCCGGAGGAAACAGGCTGGTGGGAGAGCTCCTCCTTCTGATCAAGACCTGAAGTTACTGCAGGATGCCTCATGGATGTTTTAATGGTTTATTATTCATTTCTCTTTAAACCATGATAATAAAATAAATTATTAATTATCAAATTGTCTTTAAATTCTGGGATTTTATTCAGTTTATTTCTCAGGTCACTTTATAGACTTAGATCCACCAGATAATCCATTCAGATTGATTCAAAGTTTTCTCTCTACAGTTGATTGCATGGACTCATTGACTCTTCAGCAATCCCTCAGACTAAGCATGCTTGTAGCGATAGTGGAGACGAAAAACTCGATTTGAACATGAGGAAACCTCCAGCAGAACCAGGCTCAGTGTGAGCGGCCATCTGCTGAGGCCGACTGGGGTTCAAGGAGACAGAAGCAGACACAGAAAAAAGAAGCATAGAAGCATGGATCTATAAACAATTTCTATGTTAGAAAAGCTAACTGTAAACTACCTCCATAGAGGCTCTGTCTGGGAAAGAAAGAGTTAATCAGATGAACTCTGAGCCAGTTCTCAGGTGATCTGTGATCAGCTAATCTGCTTTACAAGATTAAAAAATAGAATATAGTAGGTGGAACCTCTTAAAGTCCAACTCATTTTGGGTAATCCTCGCCTCTTTTGTATACTCAAATGGAAAAGCAAATACCTTAGGAACTGTAAGCCCAAATTACATGTGCAATACATTATTAGAAAGCTAAAACCCTCTAGTTTGGGCGAGTAAAATTGAGTGAGTAGAACAGAGACCAAGCTGCATCCGTTCAAACATGACTCAAAGTAGTCTTTTTTATTCTCGGAAATATTACGTCTTTTTTGAACAGCAGTAATAAAGACATTCTTGAGAAAAGGCAGGTCTCATTTTATTATATTTGTTCTACATCGTTACCAAGCTGGAGTAAGATGACAAAGGAGCTGCTTGTCAAGGAAAAGATGGAGGCAGGTCCGGTTAAGCTTTTATTAAATACAGGGCATGATGGAGGTCAGAACAGTCAGTTCATACAGAGACCATGATACATCCAGCATGTCAGTCACTCCAACACAGAGTCACCTCAAACGTAACGGATCAGAGAAACAGTCGTTTAGTGTCTGAGTAAAACAACCATGGTTAAAAACACGAAAAGTATTCACACCCCTTCATGTTCACAGCCTGTAACAGACAGAAGGATAACCTTTCCAGATGGTGGTAGCCAAGAGATGGACTGATCTAGCTCCGATTCATTAGTGCTCAATCGCACTTCAAATTAAACACCCTGCAGGCCTGGTGGGGGTGGGAATACTTTTCATAAAGCTTTGCTGAGCTTCATACTTCAGTTTGGCTCTCAAAGCTTCTGAACCTCCTGGGTCGCACAACGGGCTGGTACCGGCTACAGTCTTTCTTTCTGAGATGGTTAAACTAAAGGCTGGGGTGGGGGTGGTGTTGGTGGGGGGGTTATGGTTGTGCTACAAGGCTGAGCCGCTCAACAACATGACAACTAGGCTTCATGCGCTATAAGAAAAGATCAGAGTCCAGGAGCTAACATCTGCTTCCTTATATGGGCTTATGACATCACTGGAACATCCTTGAAAGTAGGCAGTTTCTGATGCTCCCTCTGCTGGAGCAGCTGGCCGCCGGCTTCCTGTGACTGAAGCTCCTTCCATGCTGCTAAGCTCCGTCTCATCAGCAGGTCTATGTGGCGCCTGGCTGCGGACCAATGAGAAGCTCCGACTGCTGCGGGGTGGGGGGTTAGTAGGAGTTTAGATGTTGGGGGAAGATCAGGCAAACTTCTTCTTGGTGGCGGTGAAACGCTCCATGTACTGAGGAGACAGAAAGAGAGAGCAATGAAGACCTGGTGGACCGGCCCAGAAACGGACAGCCAGACCAGAACTCTGCTGGACCAGTAGCTTCCTAAAGCAGATCTGTGCAACTTTTAGCCACCAGGGGGCACTAGGCCTGTAACCTCCAGATTCAGCGCCTCCTGCAGGCCACTAGCTGCACTGCTCAGTCTCTAAATGAACCAGTCTGGGTTCTGGTTCTGGTATCAGACCAGTTTGGACCAGCAGGTCTAGAATCCTGGAGTTTCTGGTAAAGACGAGGAAACATTCCCTCTCTGGATTAAAATCCTCCACCACAGAACCAGAAACATGTCTGATCAGCTGAGGGTCCCAGCTAAGAGCTGTTAGCTTAGCTAGCTTTGGAGATGAAGGATGATTTGATGATCTCAGATTACAGTCACAATGGGGTCAAAGGTTACACAGTCTCTCTTTAAGGACACTACTGGGAATTTAGGTTACTTCTGACATCATCATCATCTCGTCCATCGATGCTCTAGCATATCAGCTACAGGTCTGAACTCATCATCATTTATTCTTCTATGAAGTGTGGTCGGAAAATTTTGTTTCTCTAATTTCATATATTAATTTATGCTATTTACTCTCCATAAAAGTTTTCAACCAGCCTGTTTCACCTGCAAGGCCGCATAATTGCCCTGAGTGACGGTGTTTGTAGACATGACAAACCTTTTTCCCACAACACACTAAATTCTTTCTGAAGAATTTATTCATATACATGCTATTGTTTAACCAAAGTGTCTAATTTATTTGACTCTGACTACTTTCCATTATTGTAAGTAAGGAGGAAGGAACGCTGCCCAGATCAGAACAGGTATGATTACCGTGCAATAAGGGCCGTATGATGAACTGTTCTATTTGAAAAGATTTTTAAAAAGGTGCCGACTGAGTGAAATCCATCGACCGTTTACTTAACAGGAGCAAATAGTTGAATACTTTCTGTTTCTATCTGCGAGGTTTTCCAGACGCTCCATGAAGCTTAAACAGTAGCGGTTTGGTAACCATGGTGCTATGAGCAGACCTTCTCGTATCCCTCCAGCTCTCGGAGATTCTTCACTTCGAACAGGTTCCCCTCCACGGAGAACAGGGACACCTGTGACTCGGCCAGGATAGAGTGAGGGATGGAGGACAGCTCCAGACAGTTCTCCTCTAGACGGAGAACTTTCAGCCGAGGACAGCGGGACACCTCTGTTGACAGCACCGAGATCTGGCAGGAGAGAGAGAGAGAGAGAGAGAGAGAGGAGCTGCTACTGACAGGGTTCCCTGCAGCTTCTATGATGTCTGTACTGAGAAGGGAACCTGGTTCTGGTTGAGGTTGATCTCGATGGCCTGCAGCTCCGACACCTCTGCTGGGACACTCTGAATCCTGTTCCTGGACAGATCCAGCAGGTCCAGCTGTCTCAGGGTTCCCAGTCCTGCGGGGAACTCTGTGATCAAGTTCCCGGCCAGGTTCAGGGTCCTCAGGGCCTTCAGCTGGCCCACAGCGGAGGGCAGCCGCTGGATCCGATTCCCGCTCAGACTCAGGGTCTCCAGCTTCTTCAGCTTCCCGATGTCATCAGGAAGGCCCGCTTCCGCAGAGAGGAGAGCGTTAGAAGAAGCAGAGCGGGAACGTCCCACAGGAGACGCCGTCCAGCGGATACTCACTCAGCTTGTTGCCGTTCAGCGTCAGGCTCTTCAGCAGCAGGAAGTTCCCCACGGAGGCCGGCAAAAACTCGATCTTATTCCCCGACAGATCCACAGTCCTCAGGTTAGCGGTGAGTCTCTGGAGCTCCTCTGGAAACTGAAATGAGCAGAACATCAGGAACTACTGAGAGCGGCGCGGTTAGAGAAGCCAGAATCAGGTTATGATGAGCGACTCCACCCTCAGGCCTGTTCTAGGCTGACCCGTGGATCCAACCACTGACCCGCTGGTAACCAGGGGCTCCCCCAAACCTTGTAGGTACCTAGGTACCAGATCTGCTCTGGACCCCGCCCTTCCTATGACATCATTATATGGCAACTCTTCTCGAACAAACTGTATTGCTCCCGTTTCTTAAGGATCAAATCTCATAAAATTTGCTTCTATATCATTTAGTTCTAAGATTGAACTAAAAAAAAAATTTAATTTAGGCTTATTTATGTTTTTACTTCTGAGGATGAAAACATGTTTAAAATATTTTTTCTAATTTTAAGATTGAAGCTTTTTAGCTTTTAAGGAACAGAGATCAGTAAAATTAGCGACGTGTATCATTTGAGTTTAATTGAAGAAAATGTCATTTAAATGCTTTAGTATCTATTATGCAAAATGAAATCTAATGAAAACAATAATTAAGTATACAACTTCATAGCATAACAGCAGAAAATAAAGGAGAGAGAAAAGAGCAAAGATTGTCCAAAAACAAAGGTTTTGGTTCATTTTCCAGCAAATCAATGGTACTGTGTTTGAATTAATTGGAAATATTTCAATAATGAAAAAGTAGTTAAAAAACACAAGTTGATTAATCTGTGTTCTAAAGGCAAAGGAGGGGCCCTCTGCTCCTGGGCGCTTTAACGAGTTTCCACCAATTAGCATCTGAAAAAGTCATGCTGGTCTAAAAACCTGTTTTCTTAGATCCTGTCGGAGCCAAACAGCATTAATTTAACCGTCAAAGGTGCGCTCGACATCATCTCTGCGCTCATGACTTTATAAATCTATATCAATGATCCATAGAAATCATCCAATCACACACTGCTTCTTTCATCCAATCAAAGTATCCGTTCCTCTTGTTCATTAAAAACTGGATTGGCAGCATCCCTGGGCAAAAGTTTAGGAAATAAAAAGGTAAGATTTAGCCAAACAATATAAGATAAAATAAACTCTTTGATTTAATTTAACAGTATACATAAGCTTACTGCCATTTGCATTAGTATTTAGTTCTCTAAAGGCTTTTAAAAACTCATTATTTACACAATTCAAAACATATAAACATGTATTGACTTAAAACAAGTATCAGTTAAAAATCATGAAATAGGGATCTTGTTAAAATGAAGTTCTCCATAATCTGACACAAAACATGAAATGTTGTTAAAACCCCGAAGTTGAATAAAATCCTCCATGTTCTGTGTGTCTCTGTGGAAGTGAAAGTCCAGCCTTATTGTGGCTTTAACCTTCCACAGCGCCACGGCATCAAGGTGAGCTCCTCCTGCAGTCTGTCTCTGAGGGACAGGTAAACGGCCATCTTTGCTTCACTGATTAAAAAGTTTAAAAGTCGGGTCTTTGGTTTATTTCTTCTATTCTGGCAAACTCCATTATAAAAAGAGCGTTTGTAAAAACCGTCCCAAAAAGACTAAAAACACATTTTCAGACAGACCCTCCCTTACCTCCTGCAGGCCTTTTCCCGTCAGCTGAAACACTCCGGTCTTCTGGGAGGTCTCCAGGTGGGACTTCAGCGCGCTGTTCCCCATGTTAACCCACTGCAGCAGAAGTGGATCACTTCCCACAGAGCTCCTCCTCTTCCTCCTCCTGCAGGTCAGTGGCTGTTAATGAGATCAGAGGGTTAAATCCCTGCAGTCCGAGGCCCCTCCTCATCAGGACTGGGTGAACCAACCAGCAGCTTCCACTTTCTGACAAACATCAGAGCAGAAACCTAAAAACATCTGAAATGTTTCCAGCAGACAAGCTGAGGATGAAGAACTAGACAGAAACCTCTGAGGAGCAGCAGGGTGATGAAGACCTCCATCTGACCTACTGACCTTCCCTCCTCCATCCTGTTCACTGCTGCACAACTGAGCTCCCTGCTTCGAGCAAACCGGGTCTTGGTTCTGATGTTTGTAGGGACGCTCCTCCGGCATCTGTGGACGGGCCAACGCTCAGAGACGGTGGAGAGAACCAGAACCAAGAGGAGAGACAGACCAGCTGACCCACAGAACCATTCAGCTGGTTCTGGGTCAGCGAACCGAGTTTAGCTTTCAGAGACAGGTTCCAATTCATCGTCTGTTAGTGACCCGGTCCAGTTCATCGTCTGTTAGTGACCCGGTCCAGTTAATTTTCTGTCAGTGACCCGGTCCAGTTCATCGTCTGTCACTGACCCGGTCCAGTTCATCTTCTGTTAGTGACCCGGTCCAGTTCATTTTCTGTCAGTGACCCGGTCCAGTTCATCTTCTGTTAGTGACCCGGTCCAGTTCATTTTCTGTCAGTGACCCGGTCCAGTTCATTTTCTGTCAGTGACCCGGTCCAGTTCATTTTCTGTCAGTGACCCGGTCCAGTTCATCGTCTGTTAGTGACCCGGTCCAGTTCATCTCCTGTTAGTGACCCGGTCCAGTTCATCGTCTGTCAGTGACCCGGTCCAGTTCATCTTCTGTTAGTGACCCGGTCCAGTTCATTTTCTGTCAGTGACCCGGTCCAGTTCATCGTCTGTTAGTGACCCGGTCCAGTTCATCGTCTGTTAGTGACCCGGTCCAGTTCATTTTCTGTCAGTGACCCGGTCCAGTTCATCGTCTGTCAGTGACCCGGTCCAGTTCATTTTCTGTCAGTGACCCGGTCCAGTTCATCGTCTGTCAGTGACCCGGTCCAGTTCATCTTCTGTTAGTGACCCGGTCCAGTTCATTTTCTGTCAGTGACCCGGTCCAGTTCATTTTCTGTCAGTGACCCGGTCCAGTTCATCGTCTGTTAGTGACCCGGTCCAGTTCATCTCCTGTTAGTGACCCGGTCCAGTTCATCGTCTGTCAGTGACCCGGTCCAGTTCATCTTCTGTTAGTGACCCGGTCCAGTTCATTTTCTGTCAGTGACCCGGTCCAGTTCATCGTCTGTTAGTGACCCGGTCCAGTTCATCTCCTGTTAGTGACCCGGTCCAGTTCATCGTCTGTCAGTGACCCGGTCCAGTTCATCGTCTGTCAGTGACCCGGTCCAGTTCATCTTCTGTTAGTGACCCGGTCCAGTTCATTTTCTGTCAGTGACCCGGTCCAGTTCATCGTCTGTTAGTGACCCGGTCCAGTTCATCGTCTGTTAGTGACCCGGTCCAGTTCATCTCCTGTTAGTGACCCGGTCCAGTTCATCGTCTGTCAGTGACCCGGTCCAGTTCATCGTCTGTTAGTGACCCGGTCCAGTTCATCTCCTGTTAGTGACCCGGTCCAGTTCATCGTCTGTCAGTGACCCGGTCCAGTTCATTTTCTGTCAGTGACCCGGTCCAGTTCATCGTCTGTCAGTGACCCGGTCCAGTTCATTTTCTGTCAGTGACCCAGTCCAGTTCATCGTCTGTCAGTGACCCGGTCCAGTTCATCGTCTGTTAGTGACCCGGTCCAGTTCATCGTCTGTCAGTGACCCGGTCCAGTTCATCTTCTGTTAGTGACCCGGTCCAGTTCATTTTCTGTCAGTGACCCGGTCCAGTTAATTTTCTGTCAGTGACCCGGTCCAGTTCAGTGTTTCTCTGTGAACTCTAGTGATTAATGAGGATCATCTTCATCACCTCCCAGGTTTAATAGTCATCCTCACCCTGAGTCACAGATTAGATTTTAACCATAAACTGTTAATCTGCTGTTATATTTAACTGTGTATAACAGAAAGGATTTAAGCTCATTACTAATATTAGGACTTTTATTGTTTTTTACTCAAAGTCTTTGATCCTCACTAAACTAACTAAACATTGACTGATTATTGCCTTTATCGTTGCTGCCAAACAGGGTTTCTTATTTTCCAGCCCCCCACTCCCTCCCTGCCCCTCCTCTGAATGGGCTGTTCCGTTTAATCTCGTTCTTCGGACCGATCTTCAGCAGCAGGTTCCGGTCCGTAACTCACCTCCCAGCTGGTTCTGATGAGGTTTCTGATCCGGACCTGGCAACTGGACTCTGGTCAAACCGATGAAAACAAGTTGAGAATCAGCTGTTCCTCCTTTTCCTTTTCCGGTTTCTTCTTCTTCTTCCCTTCCTTTCTGCTGCCTGCTGCCACCTACTGGCCTGGAGTGTTAGTTCTTGGCCTGTGGCTCAGAGAGGAATCTCTGCAGGAGCAAGAACAGTGCAGTAATCTTTAACATGTCCTGTCTCTGGATGGAACCTCCTCCTCATCCTCCTCCTCATACGGAAGAAGCAAGGAAAACACAAACCAGAAATGCAATGATTATGATGATTAGCATGCAGGCTTTAGACCAGATCATTTTAACTGTTTATCTCAATGATTACTGCATTAAAGCCTGTGGTTCACAGACCGTCCTCTTTATTTAAATAACTGTTTAATCCTATCAGTTAGCAGTGACCAGGAGAAGAAAGGAAACAAAGATAACATAAGTGACATAGGAAGGAAACCGTTTCTTTGGGATAAAAATGGTGGATGATGAGTTAAAGCATAACAGCCTGGCAGATCCTTTACTGCCTTTAAGGTCTCTTAAGAACTCTGCAAAGAGATCTGCAGATAAGCTGCAAGGAGGGTTCACAGGCACTGGCCAACATCTTAGAAAAATCTGAAACCATTAAGCCCATTGGTAAGAAAACAGTGGCTTCCATGAGTGTCTCTCTGCAGCTCATCAGCTGCTTCCATGAGGCAGTCGCAGATCGTCTGGGTGCTAATCAGGCGCTGCTCATAACATCACTACATTTCTCTGTCATCAGAAACGGGATCCTTCCTCTGATTGTTTGGAGGAAACCGATCCTCATCCTCCTCCTTTCATCTCCAGCCTTCCTCCGGCTGCCCTCCGGGCAGGGGGGAGATTTACCATTAGGCAATACTAGGCAGTTGCCTAGGGCCCCACGTTCCTGGGGGCCCCATAAAACTTTTTGTTTCCATGTATGGTTAATACAAATTTTCCTTATTTGTGCACATTAATGATGTTTTTGATTCAAATCCTTTGGTTAAAATGCCTCCTTTGGCTAAAATGCCTCAGAACTCCTTGGGGAATCTACAATATGCAGTTTTCCTTTCTGCCCACTGGGAGGCGCTGCAGAACAACAGTCTATGATTGACCACCTCCAACATTACCCCTTAATGACTTATATCGTAGTTTTTTACTTGTTTAGAAGAACACTTTAAACTCTACGCACATCTGTTCGATCAAAATAATCGAATTCAAAGCAGAAAAGACACAAAAAAACATCGTATTATTTGTATGGTTTTTTTCCCCTCTCACCTCCAGACCAGCAGGGGGCGCTGCTGTGTTTCTCTCCGGGAGAAGAGGAGAGTTGGCGGTAAAACTTGTTCATTTGGATCGAAGCAGAGCTGCAGCCTGAACCGATCGCTTGTCCACAATGAGACCGGAGGCCTAAAGGACATTTGGGAGGTAGGGGGACATCCTGTCTGTCTCTGCAGTGTGTCCACATGTCCTTTGGTTTACTGGAGAGAGGCAGACATTCTGGATTATTTGCTAAATTAAAGCGGCTGGATTCGGTCTAAATGTGTTTTAGCTGAATTATCTGCCGTTTGGTTGAAGACTGAACACCATCTAATCTGGATGGAACTAATCAGAAATATAATAATTTGGTTCACGTGATCATCCAGCGTTAAATGGGATTAATTTAAAAATAATGCGGAATATTCTTCGTCTCTGAAAATGAGTTTTCTCATTTAGGGGTTTAAATCATTTAGATTGAAATTCCGTTTATTTATGAAAAACAAAACATAAACCCTTATAAATAATAATTTTGTGTGTGTGTGTGTACATTTTCTTAAATTAAACCATTTTTTCAGGTTATTTCTAAATGAGATTTTTGAACCTTGGACTTTATGGTGATTAATGTGGTTCCAGGTTGTTGTTTTTAAATCAAACTTTGCTTAATAAAATAAAGATGCAGAGAAGCGAGAGGCTCTCTGTCCTTTCCTTGGACCTTCAAAATAAAAGCCCTGCATTATCTTAAATCGTTTCTTTTCCCTCTAAATGTCATCCACTGCAGCTTTTTTCCCCCACAGTCTCCATCTGCGGTTCTGTTTAGTCCTCAGAGGTTCTATCCGGTGGTTCTTCTGCTTTCTCTGAACACCTCCCTGTCCTCCCTCCAGATGCATCGGTGGGATCTGTCTCCGTTCTCTGTGACTCCTGCAGCCAGCCTGCTGTCCAGATGTGTCTCCGTCGGAGCCGTGTCCCAGGTCAGGACATCCTGTCCTCCCTCCCTGTCTTCTATATGTTCTCCTGCTGACTGAGCAGCCGGGTCAGCAGTCTGGAGGTTTTCTCCTCAAAGCTCCTCGTCTTCCATTCAGTTCGATTTATTTCTATAGCATTAATTCACATCATGTCATCTCAGGTCACTTTCCAGTTCACCAGATCATCCAGTGAGATTGATTAAAAGTTTTCTATCCAAGGAAAACCAGTTGATTACATCGACTCAGCAATCCCTCACACTAAGCATACTTGTAGCGACAGTGGAGAGGAAAACTCCCCTTGAACAGGTAGAATCCTCCAGTAGAACCAGGCTCAGTGTGAGCGGCCATCTGCTGAGGCCGACTGGGGTTAAAGTTCCAGCGTTGCATTGGTGTTGAACATGGTAGCTGACAGAAGGTTTCCTGGGTTATTAAGACCCTGAAAGTTGGACGTCTTCAGCCTCTACAGCAGTGGTTCTGATATGATGTCTGGGGGGGGTCACCAAGTCCTTCTGGAAAATATGAATACGCCAAATGAACGTGGCCCCACAGCGGGCATTAGGACAGTGTGAGGGGCGGAGCCAAAAAATAAGGGAAGTACAGTACAGTAAAATCTAAGAAGTTTATGTAAATCAAAGAATTTGCAGTGTTTGTTGTGTGGTTGCACATGCGGCCATCACAGACGGCGAGCAGATGGTATCGATCTGGCTTTTTCTCACCCTCAGCCTTAACTAGGCTCCTGTCTGCCAGCGGCTGCAGAAAGTGTTCACAGACAGTGACTGAAATAAAATATAATATTCTGCTACTTAAACAATAAAAAGGGGTCGTTGCATCTTTATTAAATATTTTAGAGATTGGTTTACTGTAGGGCTGAAAAAAATGTATCGGATTATTGAAATAATCATCAACTAATCTAGTCTTTGATTAATCGTTAGCTGGAGAATACACTGCAAAAAGTCTAAATCTATATGAGTCATTTTTTCTTAAAATAAGTGCATTTGTTCTTGAATTGAGGAGGTAAAAGAGACATTTTGCGAATTGAACAAGAAAATTTACACTTGAAATAAGTAAACACAATTGCATTGTCTTATTTTAAGTGCATGTTATTTTAATTATCTTATTTTAAGAGTGAAATTACTCATTCCATTGGCAAACTATCTCATTTACCTACTCAAATTAAGGGTGAATACACTTAATTTAAGACATTTTTACTTATTTCTAGATCATTTTTGCAGTGTAGAGACTCTAAAAGATGCCTTTAACTGACAGAGCGACCAACTAAGAGCAGGAATTGTTAGAAAACTAAGAATATATAGAAACATTTTTCCATCTAAGTCTAAGCAGAGATGCCCAGACTTCCTGATCCACACACCTCCACCTCACACCAGGCAACTCAGAGACATAGTCCCTCCAGCGTGTCCTGGGCCTCCCCCCAGGCCGCTGGAGAACCATGGCCTCGATTTGGAGGGGCTGATTTTCATTCCGGCCGCTTCACACTTTGCTCTAAGCCGCAAAGTTTTTAAAAACATTTTGCATTTTAGATAAATATCTTGTTCGTCTGTCAGTCTGATCTATCCAGAAGTGGAAAAGCTTTAGTTTCACCTGGTTTAATTCTTTATAGAATCTTTTTGCTAACACATTATTAATCAAAAAATGATCAAGGGATGAATGGATTAGCAAAATAATGGTTAGTTTCAGCGCTAATTCATTATCCATTGAAGGTCATTGCATCGTGTCTTTCTATAAAAAAAACGGTCAGTGAGGAGTGGGGATAAGGGAGGCGTGTGTCTCTGTGCACAGCTGGAGCTGCAGGGGCCTAAACAGGGTCTGAGGGCCTGTGCTTTGGAGGTAGCCTCTCTCCCCTGGCTAACTAAACCTAAAGTGGGCTTCGACCCTCACATCTTTAGCCTGCATGTTTCTCAGAATAAGCAGCTTAAACTGTTTCCTACAGGCTCAATGTTGACAGCATTCAGAGAAAGCTGTAGCTGTGGGAGTGGATGGAGGAAGGGTTGAAATGTTCCCGTAGGACTTTATGAAGAGTTGTATAAATAAAAAAATCAAACTGTGAAATGAATTAATGCCTCTAGTCATGGGTCTATTAGCGACGCGTGGGGGCGTGCGTGGAGCCCATAGAGCTAAACGCTGCATCGGTGCGCGTGTGGTTTCCATAAAGTCATGTTACCGATCCAAAGTTGTTTCTAACTGACTGACTCACTAAACTGTTTAAAAGCGTATCTATCAACATGATGCATCTGATTAAAAAAATGTCTCATCTTTTGCAGTTTATCATTAAAATGATGCAGAATTTTGGAGCCTAAAAGGAAAAGGAACGTTTCAGCCGTTTTTTTTATTTTCTCTTTTTTTTTTTTTTTTTTTATTTCCCCTCAGTTATCACTCAACTTATCTGAATTAAAGTTAATTTCAAATTGACTCTTAGTTTATTTACTGTTTTTACTATACTTATTGTTTTTAGAAATTTGATTTAAAATCCTAGTCAACAAGCATCCTCGCTCACATTTTCCCCCTTAAATTTTCACGTTATGATAAATGTTTACATTATTTATTGGCTGCATCTAAAAATATCAAAGATATTTTCAATTTAAACATAGATATGAAATAATACAATATAACCTACAATAATTTCAATGATATAATTGTTCTAGGTCATCAGATCAATGCAGTTTAGTCTGTCCAATTAGCTGCCTGTAGTGTCTTTAAATGTCCAGCAGGTGTCAGTATTCTGTGAGACAGGATCAATGCAGCATCAATACAGTTTGGCTTCAAGATGCCTCATTAAGCATCACTAATTAATCAGTTCAGGAATGATGCAGACTGGAAAATAGGATTGGATACGGCAGCCGCCATCAGAGCTGCAGGACATCCTGCTCCATCTCTCCTCTGATCCTCCATCACAGGCTGTGTTCTCCACTGTGGAGGGGTTCTGCTTGTTGGTAGCAGCAGAGAAGGCAGCACCGTCAATGATGGTCTGTTTCTATTAGCATCCACCTTTTCTGGGTGACGTACAGGGAAAAGGAATCCAGATCTGGACTCATCAGAAGCTGCTCTGTTCAAACATCCAAAGAGCTGCAGAAAGCATGGCTGCTCCTACCAGGAAGATTTCTCAGGTTTCTCACAGAAACGCAGAGGTTGGAAGTTAAAGATCCACGATGGTTTTATTATAGAGGTTAAGTTTGTGTTATTTGTTTGAAATTTAACAGCAAAATGATGGGATGTAGCGGCTGCTGGTGCTCTGATTGGAAAGTTAAGAGTTAAAATTAGGATCCAGACTCAAAAGGTTGAGACTTGCTGCTCTGGAGGACAGGGCCTCCGCTACCAGCAGCGGCCGCTAGGGGGCGCTCCTGCTGCAGGATGGGTGACCTTTAGAATGTTATCTCACAGGCGCTCTGATCCAGGACCGCTGGGCCCGGCTGTTCTGGTGACACTGTGGTTCTGTTCTCAGGGGGAACTGGACCAGGCCTTCTCGGACCCCGATCCCGTCGTCTCATGGCGGCTGCGTGAGGCGGAGTTGCAGTTCAGGAAGCAGAAGCAGCTGGAGGAGGTAGGTCCCCCCAGAACCGGCCGGGTCCATCAAAGCTGCAGCCTGAAGGCGGGTCCTTTTTTTTTTTTTTTTAAAGACCCGACCAGAATCTCGTCCCTGATGGTATCCTCTAGGGTTCTGATGGGCCTGATCCCACCCAGAACTATGGGCCGTGGTTCTGTTAGCCTTTCAGGTCCTTTCGCCTTTGCTGGGAGAACCGGCCCAGTTCTGGTTCTTTAGGGAGAACTGACTGGTTCTGCTCATTCCTGCTGATCCAGGTCCAGCTGCAGCTGGAGCTCCTGAAGGTGGAAGAACAGAGCGCCGACGTCACCCAGGGCTTCCACCTCGGTGAGTCGGACCTGGTCCACCAGAACCAGAACCTTCTGCTGGCTGATTAGCTGGATCCTCTCAACATGAGATCCTGCAGGAGAGTCAGAACCTTTCTGGGTCTCAGTCTGAACTCTGCTCACCGTCGCCCCCAGGTGACAAGACTGAGGAGCTGCAGCTGCTGGGGAACCACCTCCTGGACGTTTTGAAGGACCAGAAGGTTCTGGTCCAAAGGCTGATGAGGCCGTTAGCCCGGACCGGTCTGCCCGTCCCGGCCCACATGCAGCGGTAAGAACTGGGGAGGTTCTGTCAGGATTCTGACCCAGACAGCAGCTAACTGGACCACTGGTTCTGTCTGCTGTCCCGTCTGTGCTGCAGCTTCGTGGTGGACTCCGTCAAGATGATGATTGACTTCATAGAGCGTCTGGAGGAGAAGCTAAGCTCCGCCCACTGTCTGAACGCCACCAGCGACCGCCTCGCCCTGCTGGTCAGTTCCGCTCCAGAACCACGGCTCTGAAAGCTGCAGACCAATAAGAACTCAGTTCCTCAGCCTGGGTCTCACTCTGAGCCGGTTTCAATTCAATTTATTTCTATAGCGCCAATTCACAACACTTTACTATATAAATGCTCCGATTGAGAGCATATATATAAAGTAAAGAGAATTGGTCCTAGCACTGATCCCTGTGGTACTCCACAGGTAACCTTTGAGCATGAGGAAGATTTGTCATTAACGTGAACAAACTGAAATCAATCAGATAGATAAGATTTAAACCAGTCTAGTGCTGTTCCTTTAATTCCAACAAAATATTCAAGTCTTTCTAAAAGAATATTATGGTCAACTGTATCAAATGCAGCACTGAGATCCAAAAGGACGAGCACAGATACAAGTCCATTATCTGAGGCCATGAGAATATCATTAGTGACTTTCACCAGAGCTGTTTCAGTGCTATGATGAGCTCTAAAGCCAGACTGAAACTCTTCAAAAAGTTCATTATGGTGTGAGTGATCGCACACTTGTTTGGTAACTACTTTCTCAAGAATTTTAGATAACAAAGGAAGATTGGATATAGGTCTATAATTGACCAAGTCATCTGGGTCAAGAGACGGTTTCTTAAGCAGAGGTTTAATTCCAACAACCTTAAAAGCTTTAGGTACATATCCCTGTAACAGAGACAGATTAATCACATCTAAAATGGAGGAGGAGCTCAAAGGGAATACTTCCTTAAATAACCTGGTTGGAACTGGATCTAACATCCAAGTTGAATGCTTAGATGAAGACAATAGTTCTTCAGAACATCTGCAGAACATCTGGTCTCCAAGAGAGGCCAGCCTCAGGACGGACCATCAGAACCTTCAGCTACTACATAGAAAGAGCAAGCAGAATCGTGTTCTGATCCGAGGTCCGTCTGCTCTCTCTCTCTCCTCTCAGGAAAGCTCGCTCGCCCTCCTGCTGACCCTGGCAGCAGAATCAGAAACTTTGTTCTGCAAGATCCAGCAGTGGAGATCCGTCAGCAGCAGCAGCTGCTCAGAGCCTCCGTCTTCTGGGCCGTCGGCCCCCTGAGGGAACCGGACCGGTCTGTTTAGCCCAGACTGAGATCATCTAGATTTTGTTTATTTTAGAACAATGCGTTTATTGATTTATCCTGTGAGTATCTACATATTTCAGCTGTACATCACAAATACAGAAATGTGAATAAAACTTATAAAAAAAAAGAAAAAACGGAAGGAAAACTTCCCAGATTTGGATTTGACTGATAAACTCATCCAACGGTTCACAGCAACAGATTCAAACCCATCTTCAGAATCTTGGTTAAAAGACGTTTCTGCACAGAAAGTCGGAAAGGTTCCCAGACTTTCCCAAACATTGAAGAATTTTCCTTTCTAGAGCAGGAAATCCTTTCAGTTTTAGTTTAACAGTTATCTAGATCAAACTCCGCCCCCTCAGCATCAAATGGTCACTCTCCATCCTTAGCAGCCACCACGCCGGGCCCGATGATCAGGTGTGGGGGGCGGGAACTACCTGAAAATCAGTCAAACAGTAGATCAGATATATTCACTGAAATACAAGAAACACTTAATATGTTGGGGCTAGTAGGAAATTCTGTTTGGGTTCCGGAACATAACGAGATTAAGAGGAATGAAACGGCAGACAGGATGGCTAAGGAGAGAACCAATAAGGTAAGGATAGATATTAATGTTAGCTTTAGTATAATAGAAATTGAGGTTATAATTAAACAAAAGAGAGGTGGCAAAGGTTATGGGAAGAGGAAAAGAAAGGAAGGTGGTTTTATAAGATCCAAAAGAGAATTGGACAGATGAGAAGAACAGAAGCAGAATTATTTCACGACTTGGAATCAGACTAACTGGATTGAATAGAGAATTATTTTTGATAGGATAACATCAGGCAGGGAAATGAGACGGTGGAACATGTTATTTACAGTTGTAGGAGATATTTGATTCAGAGAAACAATAAACTAGGAAAGTAATAGGAAAATTAAATTGGATACGGTTGATTTACTGCAACAGGAAGCAGAGGATATCAAGTATGATAGGATATAGGTTTTTTATTTTATTTTCATGTGGTCAACACTCCTTACCTAAGGTTTTTGCCAACCTCCAATAAATGTCAAGAAAAAGAAGGAAATACCTGAAACCACTGATCTCTATTTATTTCCTGCATTGCAGATTGGCCGTTGGTAGTATGGGGTTAAAAAGAAGCCACCGGCCGCCATATTGGTACTTCCTAATTAGACCATTCGCAATGTCAACAATCTTTGCTCTACTGCATCGAACAATGATGATGATCTAATTTTCAGGGGGACTTAAGACTTTTAACACAAAGATAAATTCATCACAGACACACTGGCTGTTTCATAGCATCAGTAGATTACTTTAACCTATTATAAAAATAAAAAAGGCCTTTCACATTGCACAGTCATTAAGAAGTCAATTAAGTCTATAAATATAACATACAATATATATATATTTGGGTCAAATGTTTGAGTGGCTTTTTTATCCATCAATATAACCATCATCTAGTGAATAAAGAATTACTACATTGACATTTCTATTTCCTCTACTTTCTATTTTCTAACGTTGGACCCAATGTCAATGGCTAACTCAGTCAATGTCTTCCAGTTAGTCTCAGCCAGACTAATGTTAGGCTACAGACTATACTATAGGATCCATCGGCGTATAGATGAATTTATTGGTTAGTTCATCCACTGACTGGGAAATTACCTATGGAACGTCTTCCTGCAGCCAGAAAACTGCTGGTTTCTGCAGCCAAATGCTGAACAGGGAGGCATTTTAACTGTGTCTGTAGGAGTGGGGAGTACCAACATGGTGGACGGTGGCTTCACTTTTTTGGGGGCAATCAGCAATCCAGTGAATAATTAGAGATCAGTGCCTGAAACCTGCAGGACAGAGGGGCCTGAGGAGCAGGACTGAGACCCACTGATCTCCAAGACTGCAGCCGTGTGGAGCCTGAAGCTCCTAGACCTCTGCTAGAGACATAAACCCACTATGATTAAAGTTTCTCTACAAACGGAGAAACACCAAATATACTCACTACCAAACCATCCCAGAGGAATTTCAGGATCAACTTCAATTTTATATAATTAAAATGAAATAGAATGCATAAAATCGCTGCTGGGGCCTAATCAGTTATGGTTACCGTGGCAACGCAACATTTAGTCAGAATTGCATCGTTAGTATAGTAGAAGAGGCGGCCCTCTGTGAGAGGTATAGCATGTGGCACGGCTCAGGTGAAAACTCAGAGTGCAGTTTTCACAGCTGAATCAGTTTTAAAAGGAAAATATAAAAAATGTGTGATTTACTGATCTATATTTCATGTTCAGTTTCCAGTGATTAGTGGCACAGACATCCTGGGAGGGCAGAGACACGTCCTGTTCTTTGCTGAGATTCATTAGATAAACCTCAAGGCCACAAAAATAAAAAAGTTCAACATGTTAGGAAATCTGTGTTTACGCGTTGAAGCTTTCTCCCTCCTTAGAAGAGATCACTCAGAGCAAACACTCTAAATAACACTTTATATTGTTTATGGATTAAATAACCAGGAGACATGGCAAAAGATTTAGATAGAAATTATAATCTTACTCAGATCAGAGAAGTTGCTTAGTTACAGAAGGCAGTGTTTACCAGCAGGGCTCACCTCTCATTGAAGGGGCCCCAGATCATAGTTAGAGAAGCACTTTATACACCTCTAGTCTGACACATCATCACATGTTAGCAGATGAGGAGACATTCATGGCTCCAGCTTCATCGATATATATACATATATTACTGTGTAGATTTAGATTTATTAATTTGACAGCGACAGCATTAATAAGCCTTCCTGCAAATGCACCAGAATTCACCAAAAGGCTGTTTTCCATCTGTTGTTCCTGGACAAATTTTAAAATTGTCTAAACCTAAAAATACAACAGAATTTTTACAGCGAAAAATTTAAACATAAAAAGAAAAAAAAAACAGCTATAACTCTTCAAAACTTGTTTAAAAATACAGAATTAATGTTTGCTAGACTACAGATTTTAGGTTAATAAAATAGAATAAAACATTCAAATAAAAATAATTACACCATTTATGTGCCTCAGATAAAAAAGAAAACTGGCTGTTCAGAAAGATCCACTGTGTCTTTGTATTTCTCTGTTACGTACATAATGAACGTAATATTATTATGGATTAAAGATAGGGGTATTAGACTCACAAATCAATGAAAATAAAACAGAAATGTTATGCCTTTTTTAACCTTAGGTGAAGGCTTGAGGCAGAATAAGTTGTGTTTATGAATAGAAAATAAAGATGAAAGAAAAACTGAATGTTGGCGGTATGGTTTAAAGACAGGGTTTGATTTTTTTTTTTTTTTTACAGAAAAATAGTCCATCAGAGTTAGAAATTTACAAAAACGACGAAGTTTTGTTTTTATGTGACTAATCTCTGGCCTTTTAATCATGAAACTTCCCCCGACTAGTGACACTGAAATTTTCTACTCCAGAAGTCCCAGAGAGAGTTAAAGTGGGTTTCATGTGCTATCCAGTCAGGCCTTATGTTCCTCCTCCACTTCGGTGTTACAGGTGTCAGAGATATGGTCACATTGCTGCAGTGTGCAGAGGCAAACAGAGATGTTTTAAATGTGGAGGGGAGCACAAAATACAAGAATGTGGTGAAAATACTCAGGTTAAATGCTGTAATTGTGGTGGAGAGCACAGAGCAACATATGGAGGGTGTGAAGTTAGGAAGAAAGCAGTTGAGGTTCAAAAAGTGAAATCAACAAACAACCTAAGTTATGCTGAGGCGTTAAAGAAGGTTCAGGAAAAGCAATAGGAAACTGTGAATAACATCCAAGAATTAAGGCGAGAACCAGAGCAGCATGCCAGGGTTTATAACCCTGTTGACTTTGACAAACTAGTTTTGTTTGTGGCTTATGTTATTAACTGCACGGACCAGGTTAAACATAAAAATGAGAAAATCAAAATCATTGTTAAAGGAGCTGAGAAATTCTTAGGGATGAGGAATATGTCGTTGGATCAAGTTATACAAAAACTTGAGGCAGATGGCAATAAACCAAAGTAAGAGTGATATAAAAATCGATATGAGTAAAATAGAAGTTAAAAGTTTTTAAAAGAAAGATCCGAGAAGATTGGCAAAAACAGTGGGAAGAAGATTTAGAGGAAGATTACTTTTTCGTTATTTATTGGCTACAGGTTTAGTGAAAAGAATTTAGGTTTTTTTTCCCCCATTTTTTTTTTTTTTTTTTTTTTTGAGCATGTCCGTCTTGATCCACACTCATTACTGGTTGGTGGCGGTAATGCACCTCTTAATTGTTTGCCAACCGCCATAAAACAAGAAGAAGAAGAAGAAGAAGAAGAAGAAGAAGAAGACTAGTGACACTTCTGCACTTCCATGTCCAGCCCCCTAGGGGGAGCTAATCCACTGTATACGAAAGCTATGATGACGCGCTGTTTCCTGTTTGGTAGAGTTGGATGACGCTTCTCTGGAGTACAGACCTAGCTGCGCTAACACTGTGGTTCCCGGAGCCCGAACAGCCTCTCAGACCGGTTCCTCTTGGCTTCTTCGGTGCTTCTGTTTCCGGTCCCGTTGGTAAGGATGAGCTAGCTGGGTCCGCAGACGGTTTCTGTGTGAAAACACCGAACTGACGGCGGTGCCGTTAGCTGCTAGCGGTTAGCCCAGCTGGAAACAGCTGGCTGGCTGTTTGTAGCTGACGAAATCAGCCACCAACCTGTGGCCTTGTTGTTTTGATCGACCAGAATACGTTTAAACCGGTTCTGTCACTTTTAACTCCTTTAGCTCGTCCCTCAGCGATGGTCGGTAAACTGACGGCTTCATTTATTGCAGTCTGACAGTAGGAAGACCACCAACCCAACACAGCTTAGACTGCCAGGGTTAATACTGAAGGTGATAAAAGGAGGTGGTTAACGGACAGCCTTTAGATTATTACTGATTATTTCCCTTTAAAAACACCAGAGGAAAAACTGAACTAAATAGAAAATAATCTGAATGAAACTAAAGGAGAAGGGATAATGGCTGAAGGATTGTTGCCGTCTTTCAGATAGACTGATGTTATTAATGGATTATAGGT